ATACTGGGCATTCCATTTAAGAGAAACGTTTCGTGGCTTAGTGAAGCCACTGAGGTTTGTTTACCTTTAATAATAATAATAGCGCTTTCTGCCAGAGAGACTCGCCCGAGTGTCGAGTGCCCGAGACTCACAATAATACCTGGGCTGTGTTTTGCTTGCTACAGCGCCTTGGACAAATTCTCTTTTCATTCCAGCGCTTAGCACAAGGGGGTTTTTGCCGCCAGCGTTATGATAACCTCTCTGGCAAAACCAGCAGCATCATTGCCGTGCGCATAACTGTTCGACGAATTGCCATATTTCAGGCCGATAATGATGTTCATGTTATTTTTTCCCCTTTCTCTTACATGCGTCATTTATAGTGTTAGGAATCAATAGAATCTGCAGTGGTACAAACGTACATCTGGCCATTTGGTCAATCCACTGCTGAATAAGGGCCCTACCCTACCGTGCAGGTCTCATGGGTTGTTTGACCTTCACTGGTCGGCGTGGGTTGGTGAAGGGGAGGGAAGAGCAGGATCGGTTCTGATAGAGCTCGCCACTCATGTTATAGCCATGACTGACAATCAAACTTTGGTGGCCGGGTTGACGGCGCAGTTTTTGCTCACCATTGTGCCACACCGTTCCACCCCTTTATTTTAATAGAGGCAACGTTTCAGTGTCTGAACGGGTCTATGTATCTAATCTGCTGGTTATGTAAAGGATATTACTATCTATTACTCTTTGACTATACTTCACCACGCTGGTCAGCACTCGTTGGAGGAGGGTAGCGAGGGAGCTGTCAGCTTTCAGCTGTGGCTGATGTTAGTGGCAGCCGCAACTGACGCTCGGGGACCAGGTTTGTGGAATTCCGCTATGGGTCTGGTCAGAGGGATTCTTAGCGGAATGCACAAACCACTGCGCCACCGCTCTAAGCCGCAGCGAATCATGAATCTCCGAACGGCAGGACCCTCCCGAGGAACCGTCCTGGCTCATTAAAATAACGAGCCGCGACGGCACCCATCTTACGTGGCCCACGTTATCCGTGCCGAGTTGAACTTGGCCGTCACGCAGAGGAGGAGGCCTTGAGAGCCACACCCACCGCGCCCAGCCGGGAGGTTAAATGGCACCCATCTCCCTGCACCTCCCAAACAGAACATGTGGGAGGCAGCCATGCTTGTTACTTTTTACAGAGTTGTGTAGTGGTGTGCGTATGCCTGTGTGGGAGCGGGCGATGCATTGTGCTACACGAACCGGTAACCCGAGTTCGATTCCCGCTCACGGCCAACACCAGTGACGATTATCTGAATCGGTCCCGGGCTTCCCCTAGATCGACTCAGCCTCAAATGAGTACCTGGTGCGATGGGTAAATGTCGCCACTAGGGAGACAAAGGCGGCCGGGCGTAGTGTTGGCTACCCACCCCCTCGTGTGCCATGCCGGCCTTCATAGGTGCTCACTAACGGCACTTGTCCCAACAGTCTTTTCAGGCTTTACGGGAGATCTTTGTATTTGTGTGAATTGATTGTGTGGAGCGGACAGTGCATTGTGCTACACGACCCAATGACCAGAGTTCGAGACGCGGCCACGGATAACCTTGGTGACGAAGTGGTATCCGGGACACGTCCTGGAACTTCCCCAGGTCAACTCGGCTTAGGGGAAGAGTGGGGTGGCCGTGCGTGATGCTGGCCTCACCACCTCCTTGTGCTCTGTCAAAAGTGATTACCATCTCAAAAACGAGCGTTGAGGTGGTATTGGTGCTCATCTGTTCACAGCCCTGAGCCAGCGGTAGAAACTCCACATTGCTGTGGTGAGGCCGAGTCTATCCAAGTGGCAACCGCTATTGACTTTCCCACACAAAGTGGAACGTATTTTACCGACCCTAGAGTGATGATGGTTTGGCATCGATAACCCCCAGCCAGGATTTGAAATCGCAATGTTTCTGATTGCAAGCCGCCCGCTCAAGCGGTGTGTACTCCCGGCTGGTGACTTGTGTTCTGTGCCAGCTTTAATAGGAGCTTGCCCCACAGCACTGGCAATGTCAGCGGCTGCATGGGAGACTTATGTCTTTGTGTGTAAATGTATCTTTGGGAGCGGTAGTGCAGCGGTTAGCACGCTCCGCTACGGACCTGGCGACCTGAGTGCGAATCCCGTTCATGGCCCTGGGCCTCCCTGAGGTCGACGCAGCCTCTCATGAGCACATACCTGGTGCGGTGTGTAAACATCGCCACTAGGGAGACAAAGGTGACCGGGCGAGGTGTTGGCCAACCACCCCCTCGTGTGCCATGCCGGTCTTCATAGGTGCTCGCTAACAACACTCGCCCCAACAGGTCTGTTAAGGTTTAATGGAGGATCTTTATATTTTGTCTTGTAGCTTAGTGTTTAGCGCACTACGCTACCAATCTGGTTATCCGAGTTCGATTCCTGGTGAATATTTGAACCGGTCCTGTGCCTCCCCTAGGTTGACTCGGCCTCAAATGACTACCTGGTGTGGTGCGTAAACACGAGCACTCTGACACGTTCTTGGCTGCCACGTCAATATTCTTAACCATTGGTCACCGATCCTGCTCGCGACACCGCTTCCTGTTGTCGAGCGCTGATAATTAATCACCGCGCGCGGTTCGCCACCGCTCGGTCCCCGCTCTGCAAACAAACAAGGACAGCACTCTGTCGGAAATGTTGGTAGTCGGACACACGGGTGGTGCAGGAAATGGTCCAGACCAGGAAGGAAGATTTAAAAAAAAAACATTAATTCAAAAAGAGGGAGAGTTACAAAAAGGCTCAGAGATCGCGCTGCTCCTTTGTGTGGCTGCTTGTAAACAAGCATCACAGCAAGGGGAGACCGGAGTTTCATTCCTCTCCGTGGAATCTCTCTCCTCCTCCTCCTTGCCGCCATGCCACTGGCTACCCGCCCGTTCTCCGGATTAGCCTCCCCTCCCAGGATCACAGTCACAGAGCGACGCTAATCCAGGAGCTGTGTGAGCGAGCAAGCCCAGCGAGCCGGTGCGGTGTCCCCAGCGTCACAGATGATTAGCTCTGGAAATGAGGGGTGTCATGATTGCCTCAACACCCCATCCGCCCGATTCCATCAGTTGTTGCGATTCAGTCCAAGAGGAAAAGATGTTCCCCAAAGTGGTTGTGGATGGTCGCGCTTTGAGTGGCTGCAGGGGTGACATCAGCCCATGACATAAATTGTAAACAAATCTACAAAAACGTCGATTCTTACTCGATTCAACGCGTGTATCTCGTGAGCTTAAGCATCGATATGAATCGAGGTGTCCCTGCTGTGAGCGTTTCCTTTGTCACTGATATTTGGCATCACAACATGAGAATGTTCCTTGTGCTGGCCTTTGTCAATCCATTGCTCGAGGACCTCTTCATACATTACGGTCCATGGGGAGTTGCATGACCATAGTTCACCACCCTGGTCGGTGCGGGTTGGTGAAGGCAGGGTGCATAGAAGTACAGTGCAACAGTGGATTTTGCTTCACTACTCTCTGCTGCCCGTAACGTAGCACCCGCAGCATGGGGCTCCGCCGAGTCCATCCCCTGAGTTTTAATTTGTCTTGCCAGTTTCTTTTTTTTTAAACACTCGTGTGAACAGGACAATTAACTCGAGCGCTGCCGCCACGGCATTCCTGTGCAGCTATAAATATCGCGGGGGCGCCCAGAGCTCTCAAAAGCCTGGTCTTTTGGCAGCGCGCTCGGCCCTGAAGCTTGCTCGGAGCCCCGGCAGCAGCGACGGGGAAAACAATCGGCCCGAAAGAAACGAATGACGGGTAGAGTGAGAAAGTAATGAAGGAACCGCGGTCGCCGCGCTTGTGGCTGAAGGAGGTGACCTCTGGGAGAGAGGGGCAATCGCAGAGCTCTTCATCTCACTACTTGCCGAGTCTTTGCAGTGGACTAGGGGTGTGAGTACTGTCTTTACACCCCCGCCACCTAGTGATGTGATGAATTGTTCTGATTCCGGGTAGTGATTCAATGAAAGAATCGTTTGTGTTTTCCCCTGACCAAGAACTGCATCAAGGTCGAAATGTTTTTGTTTCCAAAGCCGTTCATTGATGCTACCACACCACTGCCACTGCCACCGCACCTCGTCGCCAACGCTCCCTACCCTCCACCAGATAAGCGCAGCTGCTGCAAAGTAGACGCGCGGCGACCTCCAAGATCTGCCCTGACAGTATCCCACCATCTGATTTTATTTCTTCTTCTTCGTCTCTGGATTCCGGTGACCGATTACCCACGATAAAGCACGGCAGGAGAGCCCAACTGAGAGTTTCCAGTCTCAGATATCCGTTGTGTGTGTGCGAACGTTCTGTAGCGGGAGACGGAGAGAGAAACATTAGTAAGTATAGAAACAATAGTGGTTTCTGTTTTTCGAGTGTTCCGTGCGAATGGTAGCGCTTCTAGTGGTCCCAGGGGTCACCTGAACCTGGTGCGCAACATACGAATTGAAAAAACTATCGAGACATGCGATTTGATGCACGTGTCGTGAGATTGAGAGTCGATATTCGTCAGTGAGTTGTTGATTCGTTAGACACACTACAGTTTACTGCTCATGCAGTCTCACAGTTATTGATACGGCAATTAAATTACATTATTCACCCCACGATAAATATATCCGTATACATTTGTATAGCTAATTACAGTGTTTATGCATGGGCGGTGCAATGGTGAGCGAACTGAGCTTTGAACTTGGCAACCAGAATTCGCTTCCTGGCCACGGCTAACATCGGTGGTAAGTGAGGTCCGAACCATTGCTCGGTCCCCCACCCACCCACCTACCTTCACCAGCCTGCCATTGTCACCATCTTGGGTTGAAGTATGACCAACGTGGCATGTTGAGGATTTCTTCCAGCAGGTGGATTAACATGTGTCTGTAGTAACGTAATACCATACAAAGTAACGCAACGTTTTTGGGGCGGGGGTGGGGGAGTATTTTTAAGCGCCGAGCGTGTGCCGCCCGTGGGTTGATGCCCGCGGACGCCCTTTGACCCCCTTGTTGCTGTGTGTGTTTTTTTTTTAGGACACCCTGCAGCAGCTGATAATCATGATGCCACCCCACGTGCTGACCCTGGCTCGCGACCCCTTCTCCGGTACGGCCTCCGCTGCTCTCCCACCGTCCCACTCCATACATGTGCACGCGCGACCCTTTTGCGCAATCCACTGCTGGACGTATGTATGCATGTTGAACTTCTTTCGCACGTAGCCAACCACGCCAATCGGAGGTGAATGTGGGCCTCCCTCCAACCCACGCCGTGCGGCTCGTGGGGGGTTATTTGAGGATATTCATCACGTTGGCCGTTTTCGGGTTGGTGAAGGCGCGGTACATAGAAGTGCAGTACAACAGTGGATTTTGCTACACTGCCCTCTGATGCCCCAAAACGTGTTTTTAGTTCTCATAAATGTAAACAGTATATCCATCATTTACATTTTTTCAAGTTAGTAGAAATTGGTTAGAGATGTGGACTGATAAAGTCAGTAAAGATTTAACAAAAAAAAACAGATTTCCTTGCAATAAATTACAACAGGATCGCTATAAAGATGGCGTTAAATGTGGCGGCGGGTGCACGCCTATTCCAGCTCGCTCGCGTGCAAATCTAATTTTAATGTTAAGAGCAGAAGCCGTAAAAAAACTGTCGCAAATATTTAATCGTTTAAAAACCCACGGCGCCGTAAACTACACCATATGGTTTCGCCTCTCTATGCAGTCGACGTTAGGGTGTTCTCCGCTCGTTTGCATTATGGTTTTCTGTGGCCACTCTACCAACGTGAAAAAATATTTCAAAGGGAACTAGCCCAATATCTCGAAGTCGAATGTATCATTCCCGCGCGCTCTCCCTCTCTCTGCGACACATTTCCGCGGCTTTTGAAATCTAAACGGCGACGGGGGGGGGGGTGGTGGGGGCGGTGGTGGGATCCTCATGTGATTTGGATCCCCGGGGCCGCTATTGAACGTCGGGCCACCGGCCGCCGGAGAGATTAAAAAATATAAAAATCCAGCACCTCGAGCCGTCCGCGCGTGTGCCGGCGTGACCTTCACGCGAGTGGCTGCGCGTCTGTAGCCCCACTCCCCACCCCCCCCCCCCGTCTGCCCCACATTTCTCCGTTTAACCCTTTTCTGGCAGCGTGGCCCGGTTGCCACGGGGGCCTTGAGAGGCATCGATCACGTGGCCGCTGGGTTGCAAGGTAACCTCTGTCAGTTGGTTTGATTGAAGATGGAAGATCAATGCTGCTGAATAGAGAGAGACGGGGGAGACTGGTCTCTCGGTTGTCTTTGTCACGACGAAAGACTCGGCATAGCTCACTGATTAGCGCGCGACAATGCACCGATTCGTCTATTTAAGAGGATTGCCTATGTTCAGAATACTCACGTTGAATCGGGCCCGTGAGAATTTATTATTTACAATGGGTGGAATTTGGACGATCGTGCCATGTTTAAAAATCAGACAGGGGAACAACAAGAATGATTACAAACGATATTGGAAAAAAAAACAAGAGAATAATGATTCAGTTCTTGAGTCGCATTGCAGCCCTGAATCGTGAGGGGGGGAATTGTTACCTGCTTTGACTCACCGATGAGTCCTTATGAAGACGAAGCATTCCGTCTCCCCGGTGCAGTGAACCACCTATTATCCTTCCCTGGAAAGTGTGTCGGCCTAAAAAAATCACTGATGCAGTCTTCAGACATCGGAATCGGAATATGTATTTATACTGGGGGAATCCAAACGGCCATAAAGCTTTTTTTCAACGAATGTCCAGTAGGGGCAGGTCAGGACGTTACTACAACAAATAGTACAAAAACCTGATAGGAGTACAAAGTATAGAAAGGTAAACAAATCACTTTGTAAAAATATATAAAGCCCACTGAGCTATTAGCTTATTTTTCAGAAGCGCAAGTGATAACTCAGCAAAGTGGCTTATCATGTGGACATTAATAGCAGCAAAATAATCTAAATGCATGTTTCTAAATTTCTGTCAAAAGATTGTACTTTTTTCCCCCACTTTCTAGGCAAGGAATGGTTGTTGCATCAATTGTGTTCAGTGTTTGTCTTATTTGAACCGGGCAGTAAAGGGTTTGCTTTTGACCGCTACATCAACACAGTCAGATGACTGAATTAAACTCAAATCAGTGCTCGCGAGCAGAGCTCAGCAAATCCCAAAGTGCTTTTCAAATTAAATTTTGTTTCCGATGTCGGCAGGAGCAGCAGCGGCGTGGCAGAACGGCCGCCTGCCTGCCCGCCCTTCGTATTTAATCCTGCACGTGCCTGCCGACCTTTAGCAACAGATGGCACGGCGGTCAATATTCGCCATCGTGCGGACGAATATTGCGATCAAGAAATCCCTTTCGCAGGACGCGTAAATGAGCGATGCTTTTTGTGACGTGCGGCAAAGCGTACCTTTTATTTAACGGCACGACGTAATTATGAACGACCCTAATATCGTTGGCGGTGCGGTTGCTCGTGTTTACGATAAGTGCACGGGGATGGGGCTTGAAATTAAACCGAACAGCTGGGCTGTAACGCACAACCTGAGACCACTGAAATTAATTTTCTTGTGCCACCGCTCTACCTGGTGGCGCAAGAAGTGGTTAGCGCACTGTGCTATGAAACCCAGTGACCTGTGTGCTCGCTGCAACAAATGCTGTTTGGTAATATTGATCTGGAAAGCCAGTAGGCTGGTGGACTAAAACATATTTATACCTGGAGACGGCACTGAGTCCTGCTCGTTATTTGTTTTTACATCTGTGCGGTATTTGTCGTGGATAACAAAAGTCACGTTGTTTGTCAAGAAAAGTAAGTGGGCTTGGGCAGGAAACGTCACACGAAGAGATGATCGCCGGTGGTCGAGACTAATTGCAGAGTGGAAGTCAAAGGAGTGAGACGCTCAAGTGAACGTCGACCGGAGAGATGGAGTGATGAAGTCTGCTTGGGCGAAGGAGCTTAGCTCTGTTATTTAAAGCTTTCATGACTGCAGGGATTCATATTCTTGGCTCTTTCGGTAAAGTCACTTTACCGAAAGAACCAAGAATAGGAGCTTAGCTCTGTTATTTGCATTGCAAGAGAAAGAGAGGAGATGGTGACGGCCTTCATCCAGTCTTGGAAAGATGATAGATTATGATTATGACGATGATGAGTATTTATCACAGAACTCTTCTCATAATTCATTTATATTCTAAGGTCGCACTCCTTACACACAAAGTGCTTGCCACAAGTGAACCACAATACCAATCTGATCTCGTCAAGGAGCATCAACCATCACGCCAACTCTGGTCATCCTCGCAGCGGCTTTTTGCTGGCCATCAAACAAAGACGATCACTGCATCGTGCGCTTTCAGATGCCCTCCTGCGGCCGTCTGGAATGCTCATCCCTCCAATATTAGGACGGCACTGGATGTCTGCACTTTTAAATCTAGATTGCAAATTTATTTCTTTAACTCCTTTTTGTGTTTAGTTGGTTGTCCTTCCCCCGCACCTTCGATTAGCACGGGGTTGGATACGTACTGTGCGAAAGAAGGTCGACATACATACATAATTATGGTCTCTCGTCCAGAATCCTAAAAATTACTTGACAAATGAATCATATTACGGAAATGAAAGCAGTTGTATTGAATTGCTGTAGATCTGGCTCGTTTTCAAAGAGGCGTTCGCGCCGCGCTCACCCCGTCCTCGCTCGTTCGCCATCAAGCAGGCGGGCGGACGGCTCCGCTACTTGCGCCTTGTTTGCGCGCGCGAGCACTTTCGGAAAGTGGTTCCGTCATGTCGCATTTCGCTCATCGGCTAATGTAGGCCATTTTACAGACACGACTGCCGCAGTGGCCGCACCCACCACCGACATCACCGACATCACCGCCATCGCCGCCGCTGCCGTTGTCGTGCGTTTTAATCCGGCTCGGCACGCCAGAGCGGTGGCGCATGCTCGCGAGTTCGCGTGAGAGCCGCGTTTGCCGACGGGGAGAGAGACGGAGGGAGAGAGAGAATCGCCGTCCTCTGCAGATATGCAGATTTTCCCGAATGCAATGAAGCAACGGTCCTTGCAAAATTCATCTCGGAAGCAGGATGATAACGAATGAGCAAATTAAAAACCGTCGGGATGGAGCGGCCGTGGTGTAGGAATTATCGCGCCGCGCTACGATGAAGCCGCCAACCCGAGTTTGATTCCCAGCCACAGCTGACGTCAGTGACGAATGATGTTGTACCCTGGGTTGTTAATGAGAAACAAACTGAATTGTTTGCTCAAGTGCATCATCATGACACCGTACTGCTGTCACGTGCGCACATTTTAATACATCGTCATCGCGGTGATATCACAAGATTTGTATAATGGTATGGCTGACTTAATTTATACATTTTTCTAGTTGATGAGGTTTTACAGAATTGTAAAGCCTCATTTGTATCTCCTAAACAGCCCTCTTTTTCGTGGGTTGCTTCTTCGGTTTGCATGAAATCTGTAAGAGCGCTGTGTGTGTGTGTGACCTTTTAGTCGTCGAGCGGTTTTCAACGCGGCTAGCGGACTCGAGTGACGCCTGGCCCCGAGAAGGAGGGGCAGTGTTCACTCATCGCAGGGGTTGTCCCAGTTTCCGAGGCCGTGTTGACAGCTCAAATGCCCGAAAGGGGGTGGGGGGTGGGAGGGGTGTGGGGCGGGGGGATCCTCAGACCTACTTTCCCAACGCAATTCACCCCCTGACCTTGTATCATCCGCCGACGATCGTCAACAGTCTGTCTGCCGTTCCATCGTAGATATTGATTTTCAGAAACAGATGCTGGTCCACCTGTCAAACCTGTATGCGTCTAAGGATGAGTCGATTCACCGCCGATCAATGCATTTTGTATTCCCAAGAAGCTCCACAATACTCCTATTGCATTGTGTGCGAGGGAATGCAAGCGTGGCACGTGCAGCGGGATCATGTGACCCTTGCAGCCACAGGAGGTCACCACATTCAGCGCAGTGCGTAGATAATCAGTTCTGGAATTTGAATCGTGACAATGTACTTGTGGAATTGCTGATGCTTGGGCGTTTGGGGGGCAGGGACGTGGGGTTAGAGTTGAAATGTCACACCCTCTTACTCGCCAGACACTGCGCCGAGTCGCATGTGTGAGAAGCTACTTCTGTGTGAGAAGTTAGTAGCATCTGTGTGTGAGAAGCTAGTAGCGTCTGTGCGAGAAGCTACGTCCATGTGAGAAACTAGTAGTGTCTGTGTGAGAAGCTACGTCTGTGTGAGAAGCTAGTTGCGTCTGCGAGAAGCTTCGCCTGTGTGAGAATCTACGTTTGTTGATTTGTATGAACCGTGTGCGACGTCATCTCGTCCATGCAAGCTTGAAGCCTAACATCATTCATGGCGCTTAAATAACTCCCGTGGTGGGGGGCGGGAACACGTCGTTGTCAGATGTCGTGAAGAGAATCTGTCCGCGTGCATGATTTTTATTCCTCGTGCTTTTCTTCTTCTTCAGAGAAGAGCATTCTGGAGCTGAAGAAGTTGCTGCTGCTCATTCTGGGCTGCGCAGTGCAGGTGAGGATCCGGTGCACGCCGCCCATGCCGTGCGCTCTCGGTCGCGATCGTCCCTTCCTCGATTTTCTTTCAACAAACTCTCGCGGATCCAATCAGGCCGCCTCGCGGTTGATGTGTTGATGTTTTGTCGTTGACGTGCTGTTGTTGACGTGTCGTTGACGTGTCGTCCGCGTGAAGTGTGAGAAAAAGGAGAAGCACATCGAGAAAATTAAGGAACTGGATATCAACACCCAGGCGGCGATCGTCGCACACATCAAAGAGGTGAGACTGCACGCTGAGGACTATTCCTGTCCGGATTATTCCGTTCGTGGCAGACGATGACTATAATGATCAATCAATCTTTGTTGATTGATTTACAACAATAATAATTTACGGCCCTTTAAAATCCCCTCCTGAACGAAGGCCTCGCCCACACCGTTTCACGCTTGGGAGGTTGTTTGACCATACTTCACCTTGTTGGTCAGTGGCGGGTTGGTAAAGGGACCGACCAGGACCCTTAAATTCAAACATCACTCACCACCGATGCCAGCCGTGGCCAGGAATAAAACTCAGGTCCTCTCTGCTCTCTGCTCACTGCGTATTGCGCTAACCACTTTTTTGTGAGCTTAAGAATCGATACGAATCGTTGAATTGTTGCACCGGATGGGTGTTGTGGTGTAGGCCGGGCCACGCACCACCACTTCTCTCCACCCCCCTTCCCTCTTTTTCCCTCTCTCTCTCTGCGTTTATTCATCCTCGGGCTGCACTTAGCGCGACGATGACGGGGCCCCGTAATTGCCTCCTCGGCCCTCCGCTGACTCGAGGGCACTTTCAGGGCTTATTTTTTTTAGTTCTAATGCCGGTTGTCTGCCTCGTGCGGCACAAAGCTTGGCGCGCCGCTTTGCATGGTGGGCTTTTTTCTTCCTCCTCCTACCTCCCTTGGTGTGGCGCTGCGGTAAATGTCGGAAAAATGCCGACGGTGCCTGAGCATGGCGCCCCCGGCGCTTGCATTATGCATGCAGCCGAGCCCTCGCGGTTTTTCCTTGCCATTGTTTGTTTCATTCGTTAACCTAACAACAACAATATTAATTAATAATAATGAAATGCGATGGCCTTTTGGCAATGCTCTACTGGATGAAGGCCTTCTCATGCCGTGTTGGTCATGTGGATTTGTTTTGACCATACTTCACCACGATAATTATTGCGGGTTGGTGAAGGGGGAACCAAGGACCGATTCCGATAACAATCGCTATTGATGTTCACCGTGGCTGACAATCGAAGTCTAGTTCCCGGGCCACCTTTGTCTTCCCTGTGCTGATGGCTAAACACCATACCAGTTACTCATTTGAGGCCGAGTCGACCGAAGGGAGGCCCAGGACAAGTTTCAGATATTTGCCACTGAACAGGAATCGAACACTGGTCCGCTGGATCCGTAGAGCAGAGCACTAACAACTGCGGCACTGCTCCCCACATACAATAAAGATAAAGATCCCCCGTATAGCCTTAAGCGACTTTTAGGGAAAGTAATGTTAGCGAGCACCTATGAAGGCCGGCACAGCACACGATGGGGTAGGTGGCCAGCACCACATCCGGACGCCTTTGTCTCCCTATTGCGATGTTTTCACATTGCACGAGGTACTCATTTGAGGCTGAGTCAGCCTAGGGGAGGCCTAGGACCGGTTCAGATAACCATCACTGGTGTTGGCCGTGAGCGGGAATCGAACTCTGGTCGCCAGGTTCGTAGCGCAGCACGCTAACTGCTACACTACCGCTCCCTACATACCAATACCCGTCATACGCCACTAAGTGACGGTGACGTCACCACGGCGCCTGTACCCGGCCAGCCCCCACATACACACACATACAAATACAAAGAACCCCCATATAGCCTGAACAGACTGTTGGGGCAAGTGCTGTTAGCGAGCACCTTCACACACACACACACACACGTGCGCACACCAACACGTATGCGGGGGCGGGGGGGTGGGCGATCTTCCGCCACCGCAGGTCACGCAGAGCCAGGAGAACATCCTGGACATGCAGTGGATGCATGTGACGGAGGTGGTGCCCGAGGATCTGTACACGCTGACGCACGGCATGGTCTACAACCTGCGCCGGCTCGTCGACGAGCGCGACAAGTTCTCGCAGGTGATGGCTGGGGGGCCGCGGAGAGAAGGGGGGGCTAGTGCTGGGGCATGGAGGGGGGCGGGCCGGAGAGGAGCCAACTGAGACCGGAGTTCACGGGATCACTGTGCAGGTCATTTCTTTGGAGCTGCCTTTTGTGTTTAGTTCGTTGTCCTTTCCCGCACCCCCGATTCACATGGTTGGCTATGTACGGTGCAAAAGAAGTTCAACAAAGTGCCTACATACGTGCCTTATTATTATTGTTATTGTTTTTCGTAATTGAGGTTCTAAATTGAAAACTAATTTCTTTAGAACTGCTTTTTGTGTTTAGTTTGTTGCCCTTTCCCGCACCTCCAACTCACACGATACATACAGTGCCAAAGACGTCTAACATACATACACACGTATATACATGCAGGTGAAAGGTCAAGACCAATTGTGAATTCTAACGGTAGGTGTGTAACAATCTTTTAATGAAAAGCAATCGTAACAATCGCGACGCGTGTGTCAAGTTGCACCTGTTCGGATCACCAATCACGAATTGTGCGTGTTATACTTGATGCAAATATTACCTTTAAGGGAATGGAGTTAGTGCATCAGAGGAATACAAATTATCCAAAACAAAGAATAGATTCTCAAACCCAGTAATTAATCCGAATCGTTCGATGCAAGTGGATCATTGCCTGCCTATTAAATGTCATCTACACCGCAGGCCTGCAAGTTGTGAGCGACTGACACCCCTAAAACAATTTCTAATTCACATGTTGACGGAAAGGCCCTCCCAGCTCCGATATTTCATTTCAAAACGGATATAAATTTCCACTATCGGCCGCCAGCATTGTCCACTTCTCCACGTGCCAATCCGACCGTCTTTCCGTCAACCAAATGACCGGCGCCTTTTAACGTTGGGGCTGTCCGTCGATGCCTCTCCTCTCAGATGATCGTGGAGCTGGCCCAAGAGCGAGACCACCTCCAGCAGCAGCTGCAGCACGGGAAGCTGGGGACGTCTTCACCCAGCGGGCCGGAGCGGGCTCCCTCGCCGTCGGCCCACGTCCGCCTGTCGCCCATCGACAACCGGCAGCACCTCGCGGTGGAGCTCGCCGACACCAAGGCCAAGTGCCGGCGCGTCCGCCAGGAGCTGTGAGTGGAGATGGCCAGTGGCCCGGAGCGGCTCGCCCAACGCCTGTTCTCCCGTTCCATCGAATGCTTCCCCTTCTCGGTGTTCAATAGAGTGCAACGTCGCGTATCCGAACAGCCGCAGAGCCTGATTTCTCTTTTGCTTCATCACTGTCACTTTATTTTCATATGCTTTGCTTTTTGTCATTTATGGTGACACCACAGGGGCCACCGTTGTAATTTATGTATGTGCGTATGTTGAATTTATTTCACACCGTACGTAGCCAACCATGCTAATCGGTGTTCTGAGTTCTCACATTGTTACACAAAATAAACTTGAAGCTACCCATCGTGTACAATTAATCACGCACACCCAGTGCAGTATTTGTGCATCGTGCAACCTTCATTTGAAACGATGGCAGTTACACCAGGCATTAGAATTGGTGTCTCAATTAATTATCTAGAGTGGCTATCCATAACGTCGCTCAAAGGATGTCCGAGTGGCAGTTTTGTGTGTTCTCCTTGTCTGTGCGGGGTTTTTCCAAGCACTGTGGTGTCTTTCTACACACGGACATACACAATGAAAGAGCTAATGGCAGATTGTTGAATGCACATCTATTTTGTGATTGGAGAAGATTGCAAGATGTGTAAAGGAGGCAACGGTTGGTTTTAACTGCCAGATCAAAGTTTGGTAAATTACTGCTCTCAATTACTAATCCCTATTATGAAAGCTCAGCCTGCATACGATTTGTAATGAGGGTATATTTAGCATCTAGTGGCGATGCTTGGGTCGAGGTGAGATAGCGTGCCAAAATAAATGTCGCTTATTTAATCCGGACGGATTTTCCGTCATTGATGGGCAAAGTGTTCTCATTATTACCTTGTGAATTTTAATTCGTCGCTGTCATTGCTTTCAGGGAGGAAAGGACAGAGCAGCTTACCGACTGCAGACACGAGCTTCAGCAAATGGACCTGGAGCTGAAGCGGTTACGGCAGGAGGTCAGTGACTTCCGGGCAGCCTCATCTGACGCCGAGTAGCGGAGAGTTCGCGGGCTGTCGGTCAAAACCACCTTTATTTAATGGTGACAATGTGTTCACCCCGGTAAAGCCACAGCTGGCTGCGTATTTTTTAGCGAACGTAGCTTCAGAAGAATAGACTCTCACCTTGGGTCTCCATTACTAATACAGACTCACTGTCCCGTCGGATTAGTAAATGGTAGCGAAGCAAGGAGGTTGCTGACCTATCTTTAGGGTGCCACAATGGGGAGATGTTAACTACCTCGCCTGGTATACAGGAGGTTGTGGGTTCGATCCCGACCCTGACGCTTGTATATTTGGACCCTATAATGAATTCCGTGGTATCCTTTGGGGGGGCCGTGGCCCAATCGCTGAATGAATCCGAAGGCATTCCAGGTGGGGTTGCCACCTCTGAGGTACAATGAACTGGGTCATATCAAGCAAAGAGGGATACCTTACAATACCAGCATATAAATGGGTTGTCTTGTGCAGTGCAATATTGTTGTTGTTATTATTGAGCAAGTGACGAAAACCTGGGCTTTTAATATCCTGGGAAGGCTCTGGAGCTTTCCCACTACCGCTGCTGTCGCCTCACCGAGAGAAAAAATCCTCGGGGAAAACCAGGACACGGCGGCAACCCTCATCGCAGGGCACGCGCGCGCAGTTGGTGACGCGCGAACCGCCTCCGCTCGTGCTCGCGGCGCGCAGAACCTGCTGCTGGTGCCGGAGGCGCGGGCGGCGCGGACGTACCGCGACGAGCTGGACGCCATGCGGGAGCGCGCGGGCCGCGTGGAGCGGCTCGAGAGCGAGGTGGCGCGCTACAAGGAGCGCCTCCACGACGTCGACTTCTACCGCGCGCGCGCCGAGGTGATGCCGACGGGCGGCTACGGAACGGCAACGAGCGGCGGGAGGGGGGCCCGCGCTCGGAAATGGGGCGGGGGAAAGGCGGGATTGTCCGGAGGGTGGAGAGGGCTTGCGCCAGACAGTCACCTCGACCAGACAGCCAGACACGAGGCCCAACGCGTGGCTCTAACCTTTAACAAACTGGACAAGCAAATCCTAGCCCTGCCCATAACCCTAACCGTCCGAGATAAACCTGATCCTTGCCCTACCCATAGCCAGTAAATCACAAACTAATCAGACACTAAACCACACTGGCTAACCAGACCCTAGCTTTTCACTTAACCGTAACCACAACTAGCCAACCAGACACGAACCCTACCTGTGACCCTAACCATAACCACGCTAGATGAGCATATCCCTGCGCTACCCCGAACTCTACTACATTAGCCAACCAGGCCGCAGTTCTAAACCAAACCTTAATCACACAGGCTAAGCAGATGCTTGATCTGCCCTCAACTATAGCGTCATAAACCAACCAGGCCCAAGCTCAAAACCAACACCACACCGGCCAAAGAGACCCTCACATTAATTATCCTACTCCTGCCCTGTAAGCTTGTAAAATCGAATTTCTTAGTTCAACATTGGCTTCTTTACACACCCCCATATTCCATTATCTACTATTTGTGGAAGTGTTTAGAAATGTTATCCTTAGGCTAATGGACAATGGAAAGTACTAAGCAGAACAAACAAGACAGACCCCACGACAGGCAGTGAACAGCAGACAAAAGGTAATCTGCTCCAATAGTTTTGTAGCCCCCCCCCCCCCGCCACTTGGTGCCAGCCAATCTGATTGCAGCGGGGAACACAGCTGGGAATAACAAATAAAGCAATTTGGCACCAGCTCTTGGACATAAATTAAACAACATTCATAAAATATATAGAGGTGAAGGTTAAGAGGTGCTGCTCCGCAAATTCTTGGCTCCCACCGCTGCTGGTGGGAGCCACCATTTCTGCTCTACAGAGGGAGCTGTAGAGCAGAAATGTTCCATGCTGGTCAGGTGTCTTGGAAGTTGACAACTTGTATACATGGTGAATATTTATGTATGCACGTTGAACTTCTTCCGCACCATACGTGGCCGACCGTGCTAACCGGAGGTGCGGGGTGAATATCAAATGTGGCACCTAACCCTAACCCCCCCCCCCCCCACCGATGCCGCTCACACCGCGCTCGCGAACAGGAGCTGCGCGAAGACAACGGGGTGCTGCTGGAGACGAAGGCGATGCTCGAGGACCAACTGGAGGTGGCGCACTCGCGCTGTGACAAGCTGCACGAGCTGGAGAAGGAGAACCTGCAGCTGCACTCCAAGATTCACGACCTGGAGATGGTAAGGGCTGTCGACGTGACAGACCACGTGCGCGCGAAGATTCGCGGGAATCTTTTTTTTTTTGGGGGGCGGCACGGATGTTGCATAAAATAACGAGCGGGCCGCCGTTGTCGCCGTGGTGGGGTGAGGAACGGGACGCGGACAGGACGAGGCTGGAGGAGCTGGTGGAGGAGAACCTGACGCTGGAGATGGCGCAGAAGCAGAGCATGAACGAGTCGGCGCACCTCGGCTGGGAGCTCGAGCAGCTGAGCAAGACGGCTGACCTCGGCGAGAGTGAGTGTCGCGATCGCGCGACGGCGAGCGACTGGACGAGAAGCGGCGCCGTATGTTCTGCGGTTTAAACGGCAGCCGATGCGTCGCTGTTCGTGTTTGATTCCTAGCCACGGTCAACATCGGTGGCGAACAACTGGAACCGGTCCTGGGCTGCCCCAAGGGCGACACGGTGTCAGATGAGTTACTGGTTGCGGTGGTGTGTAAAACATCGGCACTTGGGAGACAAAGGCGGCCCGGCATGGTGTAGCCGTTAATAGGGGTTACTCGATCACAGCGACTGCCGCAAAGGTGTGTTAAGGCTATACGGGGGGGATCTTTGTCATTGTATTTGGCTGTGTGTGTGTACGTTTGCACCGCTCACCCCCACTCCCCATCTTGTGCCCCACCCCCCCCCCCGCCGCCCCCAGCCGGACGGCGGCAGTCGGTGAGCACGGAGGTGAGCGAGGCGACGTCGAGCCGCGTGCTGCGCTTGGAGAAGGAGAACCGAAGCCTCATGCAGACCGTGCAGGAGCTGCGCGAGGCTGCGATGGCGGCGGCGTCGGCAGCGGCAGCCACAGTAACCAACGCAACCGCCAGCAACAGCAGCAGCAAGAACACCGCCGCTTCTGGCGCGGCCAGGATCCCCCCACGGCTGCCGCCCAAGCCGGTCGAGGTGGTGCGGTTGCGTGAGCTGGAGGTGAACAATCGGCAGCTGAACGACAAGGTGAGCGCGGTGCACAGATGCGTGCACGCACGGGCGGAGACGCATGTGCACACGCGGATCGGGCGACGGAGAGATGCTGTCGTCACCGTCGTTGTCATCGTTATTCACAGCACGGGGCTCATTGCACGTTGAGGGTGCGCGTTACCAATCAGCAACGGGCTCTACGAGAGACCAAAGGACGTTGAATATAAAACCTCAAATTAATACAATCGATTAATTCATTGTATTAATACATTCACCACCTTATGATATCAAAACGGATAAAAAATGGAACACGAAATTTCAGATAAAATCAAAAAGAGTTTTTATTTTATGATTATGACCTGATTCGAATCCTACAAAACGGCCCAAACGTATCGTTTAGCCGGGTTCCCCCCCCCCCACCCTCCACCGTTGTCGATGGCGACAGCGGCACAGTTTTCACGGGAAAAATTAAATTCGTCGAAGTGGTATCTGGGCCCTAAACGTCGTGCGTGCGGCGCCAGGTGGAGCAGCTGCAGGCGGAACTCCAGAGCGAGCGAAGAAGCCTCAAGGACATGGAGAGTCTGAGCAACGAGCTCCTGCGCGACAAGGAGCACCTGGAGGGGAGCATGCGGACCGTGCACGACAACTGCAGGAAGCAGGTGTGCGGGTGGCTACGCGCACCGCCAATCCAGCGCCGAGTGAAGCTTCGAGAATGCGCGCCGGGCTGCGAGTTGGCCTGGAGATTGCAGTGCACCAAATTGTTTTCATGAACCCACCTGTTTCGGAGCTTTGGAGTGTGATTTTTTTTCCCGTGGGTGTCTCAAGTTTTTATTCGTGGATTATTCGCGTTGCTAATCTCACGCACGAAAAAAAACAGCTTTCAAATAAAATTGGCCTAACAATCCGCACGCTGCACTCTCCTGAAAACACACAACGATACTCGGTGAGACTTTCCTGGATAAATCACCGACCGTCATATAATATCCTCTGACCGAATTCCGCAGAACGTGCCCGATCTCATCAAGTCTCGGAGCTAAGCGGAGTTGAGCCTCGGATAGTGCTTGGAGGGGCGGCCGCCTTGCATAAAGCCGGCGTTCTCGGCCGTCCTTCTGCGTCGGCAGCAGTGTGGATTGGATTGACAAAATAGCCGTTTAAACGATAAATAAAAAGACATACAACACACGTTAAAAGAGTAGAAACTGAAAATCCCATCGGCGTCATTACCGCCGCCGTCGCCACTAGGCTGCTCGGCTCGACCGCACCTCCTTTAACAGCGCCCGTGACCGCGTGCAGATGAAGGCGCTGGAGCAAGAGAAAGAGAAGCTGATGCGGCTGGTAGAGAAAGAAGCTGACGCCGACGACGCTGGCAGCACCTTGGCGGCGGCGCCGGCGGAGCCGGGAGGGGCACGGCTGGCGCGGCTCGAGGCGGAGCGGCGCGAGCAGGCGGAGCGTGCGGACGGCGCCGAGCGGGAGGTGCGACGGCTGCAGCGCGAGCACAGCCAGCTGCAGCGTCGCGGCGCCGGCAGTGCGGAGAGGCTCGCCGCGCTCCAGCAGGCGCACTCCGCCCTCGAGGAGGACAGCCGCAAGCTCCGGAAGACGCTGGAGGTCAGGGCAAGCGCCGGTTGCGCGCATGGGCATGCGTACTCGACACGCCGGCCGATACTTGCAATGATTATCGCGCTCACGAGCACTTGCGGGTTGGGGCGTCGGTGCCGTGGTTCGCAGCTCTTGCTCGGAACCCTACGAACCCTAAAGCCTCGTGTGCGTAGGAGGCACTTGAAGGGATCTCGAAAGTAGTTCTGTGATATCACCTTCCGCAGGCTGTTCGATGGCCCAGGGTGCTGTTACACTGCTTTACGTTCAGTTCTATCAATTACAGCGAGGTGGGAGCTGGATGCCCCGCCCTAGATAAGTGTTCCAAACTTGGCCGCGTGCGTGCTCTACACAGCAGTTGTAATTACAGGCCAGCACGTAGGCCCTGGTGACGGGGGGGTGGGGGGGGGGGGGGGGCGCTCAATGCCACCGGTAGAGGATTAGCTCGGTCGGAAAGCGCTAACGACGTGCGCTCCCTCGTGCTGGCACGCGCTCCCACGCAGGGGCTGCAGGGCGTGCGCTCGCAACTCGAGGGCCTGGAGAAGGACAACGCGCAACTGGACGAGGAGAACGCCGCCCTGCGCCACACCGTCGAGTCGCTGAGGTCGGCCGAGGGGCGGCTGGTGCAGGCCGAGCGTGACAACCGCGACCTGGAGCAGGAGAAGGAGACGCTGCGGCGCTCGCTCGAGGGCCTGCGCACTGCCGGGCGCAAGGCCGAGCGGCTCGAGGCCAGCGTGCAGGCCCTCGAGACGGAGAGCCAGCGCACCCAGCGGGCGCTAGAGGCCGCCACCAAGAAGGCCGCGCAGACGGAGTGCGAGCTGCAGGTGCGTGCGGGCGGTCGCGGGAGACGGATCGGAGAGTGCTTGCCATTATCGCCAGAGGGGATCATTGGAATAGTTGGTGGGGGGAAAGGGGGTAAGCGAGTGACTGGGGAGAATCGGTGAGAGCTGCATTGTTTATGAACCCGTAAAGCCTATCTAGTATAGCGAGGTCGATAAAGGTGGCTGGGCATGCAAATATGCACGTGTGTGTATAAGTGGGGAGCGGTAGTGTGGCAGTTATCACGCTGTGTACCCAGCGACCCGAGTTCGATTCCCGATCAGGACTAACATTGGTAACGAATATCTGAACCTGTGCCCGGGCCTGCCCTCGGTTGACTTCGCCTTCACGGAGTACCTGGTGGGAAAGCTGTACTGGCCACACCGGCTCGTCATGCATCTGCACTGGCCTGCCTGGGCCCACAGAGTAAAAAAAAACGTTGCGTAGCTCAACCAGATTAGCTATGTAGCCGTTCCGCGATGGGTCAGGTGACGTTGCTGTGGCTGTGCCGGCACAGGAGATGGAGCTGGAGAACCAGTCGCTGCAGCGCAGCGTGGAGGAGCTGCGCATGTCGGCGCGCCGGCTGGAGGTGGCGGAGCAGGCGGCTCGCTCGCTGGAGGCCGAAGTGGCACAGATCGAGAAGGAGCGCAAGCAGCTGAAGAAGGAGGTGTGGCGGCTGCGCCAGCAGGCGGAGGTGCGCGAGGCCGTGGCGGAGGAGGCGGCGGCACGCATAGCGGAGCTGGAGGTCGACGGGCGCTCGCTGTCGCGCGAAGTGGCGCGGCTCTCAGAGTCCTGCGCTCGCCTGCGCGACGCCGAGCGGGACAGCAAGGAGCTCCTCAAGGAGGTCACCATCGGCAAGAAGACGCTGGCGACGCTCAGAGAGGTTGGGCCGACGCGCCGGCGGCGTCCTGCGTGTTTTGGCTTCGTCGCGTTTGTGATTGATGTTGCGGGGAGGGCGTTAAAAAGCTTGTTTTGATGTTTGAATCCAGTCGGGCAATCGGGAGTCGTGGCGTGAGATGAAAAATCCATACCGAACTCTCTCGGAAGGCGATATCGCAGAACTATTTCTGAGATTACTTCAATTGGCCTCGTTGATATATAGTTTGCTTATCTAATTTGTGATAGTCTCCATAATCATGCGAACTGTAACGTTGTGTTATATATTTTTTTATACTTGGGGATGATGCATTTTTCCTCTTTGGCCTACGATAGGGATGTTCACAAAGCAGTCAAACCAATTTTTTTTTAATATTCCCAGACCTGGAGGGTTTTTCATATCGATATGTCTCGGAGCCAGATTTTTGATATGTAGTGATTTTTTGTGTGCAGTCATTGATCGGATGGGCTGAGGCCATCGGCCCAATTCACCGGTATAATCACGATGGTGGCTAAATACGGGATTGACACCCAGGATTTTAGTAAATCGATTGGTTACAGCCCATGTTTGGAATACACCAAGAATCCTTGAGTACTTGTACGAGTTCCGGGTTGCTGCGTGCGGCGCGCAGGACCTGGTGACCGAGAAGCTGCAGGGTCAGCAGCTGAGCAACGAGCTGGACAAGCTGAGCAACGAGCTGGAGAAGATAGGCCTCAACAAGGAGCGGCTGCTACAGGACGCACACAGCAATGACGATACGTAAGGCACACGCGCCACCGCTCCCCCACTGGCTTCTGTGCGTACCTCCACCATCAACAACCGCACCTACGCTAGCGCTGCTGCCCACCTATGTACGCTCGCACACCACCATATGCGCCAGCGCATGCTTACATGCACCATCCACTACAACGCCTACTCCAACACGGCTCACACCAGCACCACCACCTACAACACCTATACCACCACAAGAATCGTGGTGGCGCCGTGGTGGAGAGATGTTAACTACCTCGCCTGGTCGTGGGTTCCATCCTGACCCTAACGCCTGCTGTATATTTGGAGTTTGCATGTTCTTGCCGTGATGGTGTGGATTTTTCTCCGGTTTTCCCTCCACATTTAGAAACATGCATTTAGAGTATTTGCCAGCTATACATTTCCACACGATAAGCCACTTCGTTGAGCTATCATTTGTTGCCAGGTTGCTTCTGAAAAAGCTATATAGCTCAGTGGGCCTTAGCTGGTAAAATAAAAATCTTTTAATTTGATAGTTTTAAAAACCTCCCCTACTTGGACCATCTACAACCAACATTGTCTCCTACATACACCACCTTAAACAGCATGAACTCCATCACCCACATTGAGAAAAGTGAGTGATCACCCTTGTTCAACAAATAAATTTGACTTGAGCTCCATCGTATCAGCACCACCACCAGCAACAGAAACCTCCACTATCAACAGTACCGCCACCACCAATACCATCACCGTTTCCGCCACCTGCAACCAAATCAGCCCGATTGCGCCTGACCTCTTTGCATCTCGGAAGTTCAAAGCAGGACGACGCATGGTTCGTACCTCAATCGGAGACTCGGGCAGTAGGATTGGCTTGCACGGTTTGTCCGGGAGACCTCGGCGCACCGATGGAAAGTCAAATGCGTTCGTGCGGAGCTCCGAACGTTTGTTTATATGCCGCCGTCGCGGTACGAGCTCTTAACGGGTCCCCTCCTGTGGCCGCGGCGACTGCGGCAACCGCTGAGCAGGAAGTACAAGATCCTGGAGTCGAGGATCGAGTCGACGCTCAAGAAGACGCTGGAGCTGCGGGAGGAGAAGATCTCGGCGCTGGAGTCGCGCCTCGAGGAGTCCTCCAACCTCAACCAGCAGCTGCGGCAGGAGCTCAAAACGGTTTGTGGAGCACCGCGCCTTGTCCTTGGATCCGCCCCCCCCCCCCCTAACTTTTTGGGTCATTTTGAATAAAAAATAAAGTTATTACGAGTAACAAAAACCAGTTGCAGACATTTGCTTGTGGTGAACCGTTGATGCTGAATTAATGCGCTACCCCCAGTAGGCTCTATGGCTGATGGGTCGTGTAAAAAATACATTTTGTGTTTTTGGTTTTATGTGGAGGTACAGATATGGCAGGGAGGTGTATTGTTTTCTTATTTATCTTATTTATCTTGTTTATTACATTCCCCACGGCGACACTTCTCTTCAGGTTGTACAACGGTCATTTAAGGGCAAGTGAGGATTGTTACTCACCTATTTGAAGTTGAGATTAAAACCCTAAAGGTAGGGGGAGTGGCCTTTGTGACGCCTCCGACCCAGAACCCGGCGGCCGGCGAAGGCCGGTTCAGCGGGGCCCTCCGCTTGCCTTCGGGATTAGGTGACGTCACCACCGGCCGGGCGTGAGAGACACCGTCGGCAGGCAGGCGCACGCGCGAGCTTACGGGGAGGAGGAGCGGATGCGAGTTGCGATCACGCGTTGTGGCTCCCAACCAGGTGAAGAAGAACTACGAGGCTCTGAAGCAGCGGGAGGAGGAGGAGCGCAAGAGCGGCGGCGGCGGCGGCGTCAGTCCCCTGCCGGGCCGGCGCGCCGACGCGCTCGCCGTGAGCCAGACGCAGAGCGAGTCGCGCGAAGCCACACGAGAACTGCTGCGCGTCAAGGACCGGCTTATCGAGATCGAGAGGAACGTACGTCCGTGCTCTCTTTCTCTCTCGCGCATGTGCGCACGGCCGCCACTAAAGATGTCGCGCGGAGCGAGATGTACCGCCGAAGGGTGCTGTGGCACGGTGTCAGTGAGGCCAACGAATGACGTGTTCTGGGATCGAAGCGTGACCCCCTAACCGTGACGGTGCGTTGAGAGTTGTCGTGGTGGGCGAATCGTTGCATGCCGTGATTACTCCCTCTCCTTTGGAGAGACTGAACTTTCCATAGTAATGTGGAATTTCAGCGTCTGGCTCAGGTGCAGCCAACGGAATCAAGTGCTGCCCAAAGCTCGCTTGAGCTTGCAGGAACTTTAACGTGACTTTGACTGTAGTTATTATAATTATTATCATAATCGTGAGTTTTGTTGATTTGCTACATGATGATCGATGAATCCTGTGACACAAACTTTCTTAAGACTGCTGCCCCACCTCCCCCCATGCTGCTGCTTCCCGCCCCCCTGCCCCCACAGAATGCGACGCTACAGGCAGAAAAGCAGGCACTGAAGGCGCAGTACAAGCAGCTGGAGTCGCAGAACAACCACCTGCAGACGCAGATCCTGGCTCTGCAGAAGCAGGCCGTGTCGCTGCAGGAGCACAACACCGCGCTGCAGACGCAGAACGCCAAGCTGCAGGCAATGCACGCACCCCAACCACAGCTCATCGCACAACCACATCCACACAGAGATCACGCGCGCAATCTACCTATACTGTTCAGGAGAGTGCTATTAGGGAGCACCTATAAAGGCTGTCGCGCCACGCAAGGAGGTGTTGCGACCAGCCCCGCCCGCCTTTGTTTCCCCGGTGCCAATGCTTGTTTAGACACGGGGGAGGCCCAGGACTTGTTGAGATGTTGCTCTGATATCACTCGTCACTGATGATAGCCATGGCCTGGAACCGAACCGGGTTCACAGCGCAATGCGCCAATCACTGCATTGCGCCCCAACAGCATCAGCTTCCGTGCTGCCAATTAATTTTTTCCATAGACAAGCAACACACTCCATAATGCACGCGTACACCCGACGTTTCCCGGCTTGTGCCCTATATCTGCTGACCTCTTGCGCATCGCCGCCCGCCCCCACCCATACCCGTCCCCTTCTCCCGCCGTCGCCCTGGGCCCCCCGCGCAGGTAGAGAACTCGGCCGTGAGCTCGCAGAGCGCCTCACTCATGGCGCAGAACGCGTCGCAGCAGGGCCAGCAGGCGGCACTGGAGGCCGAGGCGGAGGAGCTGGCGCGCTCGCGGGAGCAGCTGCACGCCACCTACGAGGCGCTGAGCCGCGACCACGAGCGCCTCGTGGGCCTGCACGAGCGCCAGGCCGCCGACTACGAGGCGCTCATCGGCAAGCACGGCCACCTCAAGAGCGCGCACCGCGCCACGGAGCTGCAGCACAAAGAGCTGGAGGACAGGTACCGCTGGCGTCCGTCCATTTTGCGGCCTGTCATGGGCTGGCATTGCGGGATTAAAGTCGGGGGCGTGCAAACTTTGCAGCCCACAGGGCGGGCCGGAAGCGACCCGGCTTTGGGCGACGCTCAAGCACCGGCGGGGGGGTGGAGGGGGGGGTTGGGGTCACACGAACGCGTGGCCATCGACAAGGCGGGCTGTCCCACTAAGCGACGTCACTCTGGCTTACGCAACGTCTAAGCTTCCATTCGACCATTTTTGGTCCAAGGAGAGCCGGGAGATATTCTCACAGTAGCCCGAGCTCAAAAAAGGTTGCACGCGCCCCGGCTTTTAAATCTTAAAGTACGACGGGGCAGCGACTGCTTGTCCTTCAAGTCTAACTGAACTGCGGTCAATCGATCTTGGATAAAAATGTGTTTGGTAAGACGTGAGTTTGACGAACACGATGCTTGTGCTGCCATTTAAATAGGTCGGACGGGAGGGGAGGAATGGTGGTGAGGGGTGAGGGATGGGGGTGAGGAATGGGGGTGAGGGATGGGGGTGAGGAATGGTGGTGAGGGATGGGGGTGATGGATGGGGGTGAGGGATGGGGGTGAGGGATGGGGGTGAGGGATGGGGGTGAGGGATGGGGGTCAGGAATGGGGGTGAGGGATGGGGGTGAGGGATGGGGGTGAGGGATGGGGGTGAGGGATGGGGGTGAGGGATGGGGGTGAGGGATGGGGGTGAGGGATGGGGGTGAGGGATGGGGGTGAGGAATGGTGGTGAGGGATGGAGGTGATGGATGGGGGTGAGGGATGGGGGTGAGGGATGGGGGTGAGGGATGGGGGTGAGGGATGGGGGTCAGGGATGGGGGTGAGGGATGGGGGTGAGGGATGGGGGTGAGGGATGGGGGTGAGGGATGGGGGTGAGGGATGGGGGTGAGGGATGGGGGTGAGGGATGGGGGTGAGGGATGGGGGTGAGGGATGGGGGTGAGGGATGGGGGTGAGGGATGGGGGTGAGGGATGGGGGTGAGGGATGGGGGTGAGGGATGGGGGTGAGGGATGGGGGTGAGGGATGGGGGTGAGGGATGGGGGTGAGGGATGGGGGTGAGGGATGGGGGTGAGGGATGGGGGTGAGGGATGGGGGTGAGGGAGGAGGGCCGAGGAGGGAGCTGTGTATAGGTTGAGTGAGCCATTCATTCTTCATGTGCACGGTGCCGCAGGTACAACACGCTGCTGAAGCAGAAGGTGCAGCTGCAGGAGCTGGAGGGCGTGCTGCGTGCCGAGCAGGACAAGCTGGCGCAGGATGCCAGCAAGTACGAGTCCATCGCCAGCGACTACCACCGCCTGCGCGACGAGAACGACAGGTGCAGGCCACTCGAGCCGCGACACGTCGCTAGCGACTAATCGACACGCGACACATCTGCGTGCGCCAGTGTGTGTGTGCGCGCACTAGTGCTTGCCAAGCAGAAGGGCGGCTACGTAATACCCCGCGTCGTGTTGGCACAGCGGGGAGTTCAGGTTGTGCGCGCCTGCCAATCGTCTCGGTCGGCTAACTCGCGGCGTTGTCAGTTAGCCGACGGAGACGACTGGCAGCGAGCCCTTCCCCACTTCTCGCGGTCTCAAAACGCGCCCAGCCCCGGCACGGGCACCCTCGCTGACTCGGCGTCCGCCCACCCCGCAGGCTGAACTTGACCTACAGCCACCTCATGAAGGAGCACGAGGGGCTCCAGGTGGATCACAAAGCGATCAAGAGTCAACTCAACGGGAGCCGCCTGGAGCAGGCACGGCTCGAGGCCGAGTACTCCGAGCTTCGCGAGCACTGCCAGCAGCTGGACGTCACCTCGGCTAAGCTGAGCAACCAGTGCGAGGTGCGCCCCCCCCCGCACCGCACTCCCTCCACTCCACAAAGACCCCCCCCGTTGTATAGCCTTTAGAAACGTATTGCTACAGGATACTACTGCATCTAAGCTGGACCCGAAGAGTGGCCAACGTAGACGTAAGAAACAGGTCGCACACTTTTTGGACACACACGTAGGATGTACAACAACGGGACCTAAAGGAGAATGGCTTGACGAGGACGTAAGAGACTTGTGCTAGAAAGATGTTACACCGCTCGAGCATATTGGCACAAGACAAAGGAAAGTAGAAACAAATGACGAAATGTGCAGTGGACACTTACGGGGCTGTCTACCCATGGATCGTGATGATGGTGATGATTTTGATAGCCGTTGGGGCAAGTGCTGTTGGCCAGCACATACGAAAGGCCCATTGTGGACAGAAACTACGCCTGGCCTCCTTTATCTCCCCACCGGTGGCGACGTTTACACACTGCACCGGGTACTAATTTCAGGCTCAGTCAACCTAAGGGAAGCCCAGGATCGGTTCATATATTCGTCACCGATGTAGGCCGCGAGTGTAGGATTCGAACTTGCGTTTTTACGGGTTCGGAGCAAAAGTAAGAAGAGACGGCTGTCATTTTCATTCTCCTCTCACAATCCTGTACTCGGATGCCACCTCAGAGCACCGATGGTGTCTGTGTTCCCAATGCATGTGCCTGTGCCCGTGCACGGTTATCATACCAAGCCGTGTGCTTTCAATCAGGCCGATCCAGGAGGCCGGTCGTGGAAACCGGCCGTGACGTCACACGCCAAGTTCACAATCCTAGCCATGGATTTTTTGTTATTTTTTGTTATCAAATGCGAGCCCGTTACAGCCCGTCGCGCAGCTCTCAAATCCAGAGAACCATCCCGACGCAACCGAGCCGTATGTAGCAGTTGGGGAGGGGGTAAAAGGAGGGGGAGGGGGGGTACCCGCTGCTCCAACTAAGTGAGGACATCACGTTGTGGGAGAGATGAAAGCCGTGGGTATTGTTAAAAACGGAAGAGCATTTTTTTTTAATGTGAACTTTTAGCCATGCCTTACTTTGCTGGTTCTGTGCTGATATGTGAATTGGAGGGAGGAAGCCTAGGACCGGTTTGGATAAATACTCTCCACTGATGTTAGCCATGGCCAGGAATCAAACTTGGGTTGCCAGGTTCACCATGCGATGCAATAACAATTGCAGCACCGTTTCACCCATGGAAAATTAAATACGGTCAAAAATCACACAAATTGTCATAGGCTGTCATTTAAAATATTCTTCCGCGTGAGATTTCATTAATCTTGTCACGAGCATAAACAAACCAATTGTATACCGATGACTTGATGCGTCATCACATGCTCTCTTCCGCCAAGGCCAAAGGAGGAGGTGACCGTCTCTGTGTTTGCGTGTGCAGCTTCTGTCGCAGCTCAAGGGCAACCTGGAGGAGGAGAACCGGCACCTCCTGGACCAGATCCATAGGCTCATGGAGAGCAAGGAGCAGTACCACTCTGTGCAGATGCAGTACATGTACGTTGCTAAAACCCTGGCCCCGCGCGTTTTGCAGGGGTTCCCCTTGGCTTAGCCTGTTGACGTTAAGGTACTGGGGCTGGCTCAAGCTGTCGAAGCTGGTACCGCTGAGATCCTGGGTTCTAATCCAAGCAGCCGTCTGCAGTTTAATGGAGTTCTCAAGCGTAGTGAATTAATTGTGTCAGCCCGGTCACCAGTGATCGCACAAAATAAACCCATTCGGATTAAATTTGGCTCTGCACTTAATTGGACTACGCTTCAGCTTTGAGAATTCATATATTAGTTTGACTGTTGGACTACGATCATTACCCTCGGTGGCAGAGTGAGTGAGAAAGTGCTGCCCCCTCTACTGCTGTATTAAATAGAGGTCACTTGAAGGGATCTCAGAAGTAGCTCTGTGGTATCTACTTCCGTGGGCTATTTCCAACCACAAATGGGGCTGTGCTCGAGATCTAAATAGATTCTCCGTCTCACGACATATTGTTAAAAAACATTGTGACTTTTGACCTCTCGCCGTCATTGGACGGCAATGTTTGCGCAGGGCACATAGAGCAGGGAGGGGAGTGGACGATACACGGTATTTGGGATCACGTGCCACTTGTGCCGCAGAGACAAACTGAACGAGCTGCGGAGGCAGAAGGAGAGGCTGGAAGAGAAGATCATGGACCAGTACCGCTTCTACAGCCTCTCGCCACCGCGACGGTACGGCAGGGCTCAGTGCGGCCGCTACAGACGCCCTAGCGCACACGCACCACGTGGTCTGTGCCAAAACCAAACTATATGGGGCAGCCAGATGTAACCCAGCGGTATCGAGGCGCCGCCAGTTGAAACGTAGCAGCATCTAATCCTGTACGGCTGACTGCTGGTGAGCGCCGGAAGAGCGAAACCAGTCCAGAGTTTCCATTGTTGAAGCAAATTCTACGTGGTGAGTAGCAGAAGGCAGTGTGGTTAAATAAAATTGTTGTTCCTATGCTCATATTTATGCTGTCCGCCTTCATCAAACCGCACTGACCGGCGTGATCGGGTCTCGTCGAACAGGGGATTTGCTGGTGCCACGTAACGTGGATCGCGAGCGCAGGAATCGATTTGAATCGATTTGAATCTTTAACTTCTTGAGACCCTGCCTCGCAGTGAGCCTCGCGCGTGGCTCATAAACCGTCCTTAGGCCACGTCGTCATCAATCCCCGTTATCTCTCTGCTAGGAAAAGCAACTGGATCGCGGCGAAGATGAAGAAGCTGATCCGGCCGAAGAAGGAGGGCGGTAGCGGCGGCGGCACCGGCGCCGGCAGCAGCACAACCGTGGGTCGGGAGCAGCTGCGCTGCAGTGTGGAGGGGGCGCTGGGCGACGGCCTCCCCGGGGACAGCCAGGACAGCTCGTCCGTCGGCTCCAACTCGCTGGACGAGATCGGAGCTCACGGCGCCCACGCTGTCACCGTCACCCGCAAGAGCAGCAGTGAGTGGCTCCGCCGGGCGGGCGAGGCGGCAGAGCAGGTGGACAAGAGGGCAAGCGGGGCACCGTGTAGCAATATCAGAGTTCCGCGCTGTTGTGAGACTTTTTTTTTTTACCCCATAGGATTTGGACCCGGGATCAATATATAATATTTATTTGAACCCTGGTGTACAATTCCTATTCAAGCAATGCGTCTCCCTTCCACCCTGCCCGCGGTCAGAATTAGGGTTATCATTAGGATTAAAGAGGTTAGCCTACCTACCATGGGACAGGGTTAAAATAATATAAAATATTATGACCTCAGAATTAGAATACTCCGTCTCCTGGTATTGACGCCGAGCTAATGTTCAACCGTTGTTGTCAGCTGCTCGTCAGTTATTCGATGCCCTTGCTTGTGCCGTATGGATGTTCCGGCACACGGGCACGTGAGTCACCGTCTGGCAAACCGCCCCGGCCGCGCCCATCGCCAGGGAACGCAACGGTTCACCAGCTGAGCCGTTAAGATCGACTCGTAGCTTCGCATGATGTTCGGTGCCTAACGGTGCGTCGATTCGTCAATCAAAATCGATTCTTGCACTTGCAAAACATCCGTGCGCTGACGGTATTCCAATGTTTGCAAAAAATATATCGCTCGTGCCATGCCTATAAAATGCAGCCATCAAGTCATGCATACCACTACATACGAATATGCACGTATGTTTGTTGAACTTCTTTCGCACTGTACGTAGCCAACCGTGCTCATAGGAGGTGCGAAATCTAAAGTCTATACATGCCAACGTAAATATTCTGCGTGCACCACAAGACCGAAGGGCATACATTTGCCAATCTGATCGTGACGATCTGTGGGATCGTGGAAGGTGGTGGAGGAATCGCTACGTCCCCGTAAAGCCTCCTCTCCGTCGCCTCGTTTGCAGGTCACCATCTCCCTCTCGTTTTTAAGCATCGAAGGATTTCTAAGCGAGCTCTCTCTGTCTCCCTCTCTCGCGGCTTCGCTCTGCCGCCGGGCTGGAGGCCACACCGCGCTGGGTCGGCACGGCACCCCTCGGCTAAACTCCGCGCCGCACCTCCCTCCCCACCCCACTGTGGTGCTCTCGTTGTCGGTACCCCCCCCCCCACCCCCTCGCCACCACAGCGCAGCCTTCTCCAAAGTTTGACCTCTCTCTCCACCTCTCTGCCTTCCTGCCTACCTTCCCCACCACCTCGCGGCTCCACCGCCTCCCGCCCACTCCTCCCCCCCCCCCTGGTGTCCACGTTGCGTCCCCCGCACGCAGCGAGCACACTCAAACGGCTGCTGCGGAGCAGAGCCAAGGACAGGGACGAGCGGAAGGCGTTGCACCGGCGATCCATGTGTAAGGCGCTCCACCACCCCCGCCCTCCCACCTGCTGCGTCGCGCTCCCTCCCCCAGCATGACCCTGCAAGCAGCTTCCATACTAACAGCCCGAGCCCTTGCCGCCCGTCATCTCGCCCCGTGCGTCTCGCCCGTGACTGCGACCAAACTCGAACCCCCCCCCCCCCCACCCCGCGCTACTCGGCGCACTGTGGTGGACTCTGTGTGCGTGAAGCGGGCTACGCGCTGCGCTCTCAAAACCTCTTCGTGCGTTTGTTTTGACGGAGGTGTGGGAGCCCGTGGTTTTGTTGTCGTCGTTGTCTGCCTTGCGATTAACATTTTAAAAACATTTTTTAATGCCGCGTGACCGTCATCCTTCGTTGGCTTGCATCCCCTTTCCGTTGCGGCTTATTTTTTGCGGGGTTTTGTCGGCGAGGCGAAGTAGATGGCTGACCCTAACGCTCGAGTTCCCTCCTCCCAGATGATAAAATACCCAGTGGAAAAATTGTTCCAAACGTACCTCGGCAGGACCCTCTTCAAAAAAGGAGTCCCTGAGACTCGGCAAAGCTTTCCCCGAGTAAATAACGGGGGACTCTTCATACGACTCCTCTGCTGTGTTTCCCGGCTTGTACCGCGTAATTGGATAGCACGATGTCCGACGTTTCTTCAGGCACTTATGCGCTCCGGGTTTAGCAGTGGAGGGTTTAGCTCTTAAACGTCAGACGCCGTGCCAAACAACACGGGCATGCAAACCGAAAACGACGGTGCAGAAACCGAGCAGCTCAACCGCGCAAAAAAACACCCAGCAAATAAGACTCTTTAACGTCCTTATTAGCGTTCCAGATGCCTTCCTTTCCAGAGACCCGGGTACGGCCGCGGCGTCCTCGCGTCTAACAACACCGACGTGCCGCCCCGACAGCTGCACGCCGAACGCCCTTTAACCCCCACCCCCCCCCCCCACCACGACCCAGCATGATTATGGCGGCGATGCCGTGCGACCCCGGCGCATGCTTGGCATGAGACTGCACGCACACGATGGGAGGATGGAGAGGAGGGAGAAGGAGGAGGGAGGAGCGAATGATGTAGGCGCACGCCCCCCCTCCCCCGGGGGCTCGGGCTGCCTGCTGCGCTTCGATTAATCAGCCGTCTCGTTGTCGCAGTGACCCGCGCCGCGCAAACCGCCGCTTTTGTCTCTGTGGTAATCATGTTTTTGTTACTTGAACGGGGGTGTCATAGGGGGGCCCCGTAACTAACAGAGGTGGGGGGGGGCGGGGAGAAGGGGTGGGGGGGCGGAGCGGGGGGGGGGCGACACCAGCCGATCCAATTCTGAGTGACGCCCGAGGGGGATTTGTGAATTACAGGCACAGCTCATTTACCGTTTTCAATTAACAAATCGCTTATGTGGCGAAAAGGCATACACCGCATTCGTATTTCTGTTGTTTGAATGACCGGTTCAGCGAATGGAATGACTGCAATCTATATCTCGTCCACTACGTAGATTTTTTGTTTGTTATGCACGAGTTTTATATTAGGGACGTAATGTAACCATTTGCAGATTAATATGGAATCTTGCTTACAGTTCATCAAATTACAAGGGGTGATTTATTGCATTCCCACTTAAAATATCTTTTTATGCCACTGGCATTTGTGTAACACGATAGGAGACGGGCCGGTTTTTTAACGCGCGTTGGCGCATCACCACCGGCTGCTTGCGTGTAAACAACTGCCCGGGACCAGGATCCCCCTGCTCCGACTTAAGACCCTGGCCTGGCCCCCCCCCCCCCCCCCCCGCATTTAAACATGAGGGCGGGCAGCGCATCGCAAACGCCGAGCGATGCCGGCACACCGCCGTCTGGGCGCCGCCGAGAGTGCGTCTCTCTCTGCGGCGGTCACGGACGTCGCCGACGTTGCCGGCGCCTTCGCGTTGGCCCGACGAGAGCACCGGCGCCATCGCTCCGGCGCAGCCCGGCAAGGCGTCCGAACTGCAACCTCGTTTCTTAACCTCTCTCCACGTTATTCACCTCCCCCCCCCCCCCACCTCGTTTCGCCGTGTTTCCCGACCCCCGACTCGCTCAGCGATGAACGACCTGGTCCAGAGCATCGGCTACTCCCTCTCAAAACTGGGTGGCGTCAGCGGCGACGGCAGTGGTGGTGGCGGAGGTGGCGGCGGTGGCGGCGGCGGTGTCAGCGGTGGTGGTGGTGGTGGCGGCGGCAGCGGCGGCGGCGTCGTTAACATTTCCAGCAGCTCCAAGACCCTGGAAAGGCAGCAGCAGCAGCAGCAGCCGGCAGGATTGATGCAACAACAGAAGCAGCAACGTGCAGGCAGCATGGACGCGCTGGACGGGCCGGACGAGGGCCTCTCTCGGCACCGCCGGCGCGACCTCGGCTGCATGGCCTTCTCCACGTCAGCCGTCAACATGGTGGCCAGCACCTCCACGCCGACCCTCCTCCTTGCGCGCCGCCGCCCAAAGGGGAAGATGCCAGGTGGGTGGGTGGGGGGCAAACTTGTAAATCACGTTGCATTCTTTTATTTAAAGAAATATTTAATGCACACTCATTGTGACTCATATATATATACACGTGTGCGTTAACCCCATCGCGCACCTAGCGTGGCACAGCTTGTGTTTGTGGTTTATAAAACCCTTGTAGAGCATTGCGTCCCTTGGCTTGTGTTGCGTTTTTTTTATCAGTGAGTTCGTCGTGCGAGGATTCGGCGTTGCCCAGTCCCCAGGAGCTGCATTCGTCCACACCAATGTCCAGCGCGACATGTACGTAGCCAACCGTGCTAATCGACCCCGGGCCATGCGTCAAGTACACCCACAAGTGGAGTACACATCATGTTACATGAGGTTTTGACTAAATGCCAGCTCTGAGAATTAAAAAATCTCGCTTTGACTGTCATACAACAAGCGTTTCTCTCCATAGCAGGGCGGGTGGGAAAGTGCTGCTGCAGGTGTACATAAGAGGTCACTTTTGAAGAGATTTCAGAAGACGTTCCATGATATCCCCCCTGCCATTGATCAATGCAGTAACACGGAGCGATTAGACTGCTCTGTACGAGTTCCGAGCGGATTCATTTTGTGATGTTACGCCGAAGGCACGATTGGGATAAAGCTCGAGGGAAAGACAAAAAAAACACTCTCGTTATTGATCTCGGTCAACGAGAGTTTGTTCCTGGAATATTCTTGTAATGATAACGCATCAACATCACAATCTGTTGCTTTCCTCGCCCACCATAAGACTCGAGCCGCTCGAACCCTCGCCACCCTCCCCATCCCGACCCGCCCGCCGGTGCCACCGAGCGATTAAAACCCGTGAACCCCAACCCCAGCGAACGCGACCGTTTGTGATGTGTGCCGCCGCCGTCACGTCTCCTCCACGTGCCCTCCACGTGCCCTCCACGTGCCCGCCAGACGGCGGAGCGTGGGAGATGGAACCCGCGGGGGACGCGGGGGCCTCCGTGTGCGCCGCACCGTGCCACTCCTGCTGTAAGTGCAGCGCTGGCATCGCTGCGGTGGAGGGGGGGGGGGCGTCCCGCCCGCTCCCAGCCACCCCCCCATCCCCTCCCCCCACCCCCCATGCCTTTCGCGCTTCGTCTGCGCTTTCCAATGCTTTTGCCCAAATGTGCCATCGCCTCGTTTGTTTTTTGCGGTTTGTGTTTTTTTTTTCATTTCCAGGGCTCTTGACCGGCACCCAACGCCACCGATCGAAGTGCACTGCCCAGTGATCGTTTGGGTTCGGTGCTTTAATCCGGCCTTGCAGGTCATGCCCCAACTTAGCGCGTGGGCCACAGCAGACACTGGGTTCCGTTGGGGGCGGCCGAGACTGTGGTGGTACTGGAATTAAAGGAAACATTAACGGAGCGCATGAGCTCAGTGTGCACGAGTACGCATTACACAAAGTAATCAAATCTCCCCACTTAACAGTTAACGCCGCCTGATAACAGAAAGAGCCCCAAATCGGCTGGCGTATCGGTTAACGCGCCCGCTCCAACGAAGGGCGATTTCCACAGCGATATCTGCGCATGGCGTGAAGCGGACCGCGCTGTTTGTTGTTACTGGTCCGACAAGGATTAGCGGTTCCACTTGAACCGTTCCGCATCAGGTGGCCCTGGCGAGCGGAGAATCTGCTGTGGGCCCATCCACGACTGTGTGTGGTGCTGCGCTCTTTGAGCCGCAGCGTGCGACAAAGGCAGCTTGACTCGAATGGAAAGGGGGGAACGTTGCTCGGCTTTATCGTGGAGGGTCCGCGCCGAGGTTGCAAATTTGTTGGACTTTAGTTTCCCGCCATGTCGCCACACCGATGTTCAGGGGGTACGCTAATGAGGAACAGAAGGGTTTACAAATTGCGGTCAAGTGCGTCATCGAGAGCACTCTAGCGACACATCGCTACATGGACATTGTATGGCATAGCTGGGCCTTCAAGTCCCACATAAGGCAGGTCTGTGAAAAAAGACCCAGGTCGAGGATCGCCGCTGCCGTGGGAATTTGCAGGAACGACCTGGGGGTGCCCTCGGCTGATGCGCTACGATCTTCCACCTTCTCGCTGATCTTAACTCGGTGGCAGTCGCTGGGCTCCAGCATGGACCCTGGGAGCTCGTGAACAAAGCTGCTGGATGCACAATTAAATAACGCACTGCACCATCACAACCGGGACACTGAAACCAACAACAATCTCCTGGTTCCCTGATCTGGCGAACATTCTGCAACCAAATATCCGTGAAGACATCGCCCAAACTGCAAGGGGCGTTTACACATTTTCTTGCCAACGACAACCAAACCTACCCATCAACCAAGGCCTCGACAGTGTACCTTGATACCAACTCAAATTCCGACTAGAGACTCCACCTAGTCCACCCAGATCCCAAAGAACGCTGAAAAAACGCAGACGTCCAGAATAAATACCTTATCCGGAACCCAAGCATCATCGCACGCTAGTGGCTTTCACATTCCTCCTCAAAGACAACCGGTGTGCCGCCATCGGCCGCATCGGAACATCAACAGGCCGAGTGGGAAAATTTAAGACACGGCCACAGGAGTGCGACTGTGGCTATGCAACCCCAAACGATGGACCCAGACAGGAAACCACTGTAGTCTACGCTCCTTCAACGGAGGAGGAACGGCAACGCTGCACACACTCTCTCATGAAGCCCGGTCACGGCTAGCAGACCTTGACGCCGGCAGCTTGGCTCCTGAACATGTTGCTGCCCTGCGCAAGAATAGATGACTTTGTTTTCTTCTTCGAAAAAACTTCGAGCGATTATGTCGCTCAGCCTGAGACACGCACACACAGCCTTGGTGCACATCTGCAAGGATAGAGCTGTCAGTCTTGTGTCTTTTAAATCACAGAGATTGATTCACCCACCCAATTCGCTGTTGTTGGCGTGTCTCTGGACGATCGGATGCCCGCCTTCCATCTCCGTTCGGGCCGAAAGCATGGCTTGAGGCTGCTTGACGCTGCACAGGTGTCCAACTCATGAAATCCCAGTTCTGTTTCATTCCTGCGTGATGTGTTCCCCATTCCCCTTGCCCTCCTCCCTTCTACCTCCCCTCCTCCCCGACCCGGCTGTAACTTCACCTGCCTTCCCGCTCGCCCGCCCGCTCGCCCGCCCGCCCGCTCGCCTTCCCTCCATCAACGCCCTTCCCACCCCAAGCCTCCGGATCCTCAAGCATAGACAGCAACCGCCGGGACAGTAGCAATAGCAATAACAACGCCAGCACGCGGGCCAGCAGAGGTAATGCTTCTCACCTTCCCTGTGCCCCCCCCCCCCCGTGCCCCCACGCCCCCCCACCCATTCCCAGCGTCCGCTTGCCTTTTCATTTGTTGCGTAAATGAAAGTCGGCCATTGCTTTGCCGCGGCAGCGTCGCTCTCTCGTTGTTTGATCTCATAGTTAAAAAACACATGGCCATCCACCATTGTGACTGCACTCCGAGTCACGCAATCCTTTCTCTTTGATAAAGCTGGCCATATGTTTCCCGATGCGGAGGGCCCTCCTGATCAGCAATAAGCAATGTTATTAATACAACTATTATTATTTGTAAAGGCTTCGCATCGACAGCGAGCCAGGGGCCTAACGGTGCAACGTGCGGCGCGGTTCGGCAGTTAATGGCGCGCCGGACAGCCCGGCGAGCGAGGAGCCGGTGTCGCCCAGGACGCCGGGGACCCCGGCGCCGCCCATTTCCACGCAGGTGGCGCCCTCGGCGCCGCCCGTGCCCGGCTTGCGGCACAAGCCAGGGATCGGGTCGCCGGGCAGCGAGCTCATGACCCTCGAGCAGTTCCTGGAGGAGAGCAACCGCCTGTCGCCGACGTGCCTGGTACGTACGGCACCACCCTGCACGCCACCGCCGGCAACGTGATCGTGTGATCGCTGCTCGCGCGCGTGCGCGCGTGTGTAATAGTAGTAGTGGTGTGTACGCACTGCGCTATGAACCCAGCTGCTTGTGTTTACTTCAATTCCCAGCCACGGCTGACACCAGCAGCGGCGAGCGATATCGGAGTGATATCTGAACTGATCTTGCCCCCCCCCCCCCCCACCATGACTATCGTAAAATAACTCCCGCGACTGACTTGGCATGGGGAGGCTTTCTTACAGCCAGAGAATGACTTAAAGGCCGAATTCAAGACGAAAAGGGCATGTCAAATTGAGACGGTCAGAATGTTACACATCCCTTGGTCTTTGCACAATTGTGCAGCGGTGCTCCATTAATATGGTGACCCGCATCTCGCGGTCCGCTCAGGCAGGTCGTGCTTACGAGCTTGCCGTGACGACGCAGGCTCCTACCACCTCCTCGGCCTCCAACACGACCCTCCCCCCCCCCCCCGCGTTCCCCCCGGTATCTCTCAGCGCAAGGTCGTCAGCGAGGAGAACATCCTGGACGGGCGGGAGGAGCGGCCGGCGGCGGGCGAGGCGCAGGACCGGCGCCATCAGCGCGAGCGCGTCGGCTTCGCCGCTCGGGACGGCGTCCGCCCGCCCAGGCCCGGGCAGTACGTGCGGCCCAGCCCCCGCAACGGCAGCGCCGCGGACGGCGCCAGCGGCGACGCGTCGGGACCGGGCCTCGACGGCCAGCGCCGGGCGCTGTCCGTGGCCGAGCGGCTCGACCGGCTGCAGCAGCAGCAGCAGCAGCCGCGATCGTCGGATCCCGACGGGTACCTGCACGGGAGCAGCACGCTGCCACGCAAGGGACTCTCCGTCCGGGACCGCCCGCCGCTCGCTGACGACCGGGGGGCCTCGCCGGCACGCGCCGCCTGCCGCGGCGAGGACGCCGGGACGCCCGGCGGGGCCGTGGCATCGCCGCCGCCGCGTCCCGGCTTGCCGGCCGGCGGGGTGGCGCGCTCGCCCTCGTGCAGTGTGCAGGAGCTGATGCAGCACGACCGGCGGCGACCCGTGTCGGTGGACGTCTCGCCCGTCGGCGACAAGGTGGCCTGCGCAACCGCCGCCCCGCTGGGTTCCCAGAATTCACAGCTTGCCGCAGAGCGGGAGGCGGTGGAGGCGGTGACGGCGACGACGGCGACGGCGACGGCGGTGCGCGTGCACCAGCAGGAGACGCACCCTCGGCTGGAGCGGCCGCAGTCGTTTAAAGTCACGGCCGCGACGGCGAAGTCGTTAACGCCCGAGTACCCCTGCCGGCCGGTCGACACACGCCGCTTCTCGTTCGCCCCGGCTAAGGAGGAGGGTGGGGGCGGCGGCGGCGGTGGCGGCGGTGGCGGCGCCACAGCCCGGTGGTGCGTACCGGGGACGGGAGGCAGCGTCAGGAAATCGGCTACGGCCACGCAGATCGGATCGCCGCCGGGCAGCGGCGCGGCGAAGGAGATGGTGGTGACGCAGGTGCAGCTGTCGGTGGCGCCGCCATCGGGCAGCCTCATCCGGCTGCAGCGGCCCGCGCCGAGACCCAGCGACATCGCCATGGTGACGCCGGTGGTGGCGGTGGGGCCGGCGTCGGGGTCGCAGGACGACGCTGAGCAACAACAGCAGCAGGCGGTGGCGCCGGTCGCCGTGACGGGCACGGACACGGTGGACGCGAGCGCCGTTACGCCGCCACCGCCCAAGGACGGCGCTCAGACGCCGCCCCAGGCCACCTCCACCCCAACGGACAAGCAGACCGTGTGGTACGAGTACGGCTGTGTGTGAAGGGTAGGGGGCGGCGAACCAGAAGATTTTAGGAGGTGGGGGGGGCGGCAGTGGTGGGGATGCCTGAAACTTAACTCGACTTCGCTAGAGCCTGCCCACCACCACCACCACCATCCCACCTCCTGAAATCACGCCTTCCCAGCACGATGCGATTGAGCAGAGCGAAACGATTTTTTGACTCTGGTCCGCTCGTGTTTTTCCAAAGCCGGAGGGAGGAGAGGCGCCCGTGGCTGGATTGACTTAACCGAGGGTTCGCGGTGCATTCCCGTCGGTCCCTTGCAGGACAAACCTGACGGACAACCCTGATGAATCAAACCCCTTTGCATGAGAATTCACAAACCCCCACCCCCTGCTTACACTACAGACGGACGGGCAGCAGCACGGCAGTCAGGGAAGACTGGCGACGGACGGCAAGAGGAACCCTTCATCTCGTTCTGAATCGCGACCTATATCTTTACGGCGTTGCGTTCTTTTGTTAAAGTTTTGCCTTTCCTTGACTTTGTATTTTTCTCGTCTTTATCCGTGGCCATCACCAAAATGTAGAGCGTTGAATTGAAGAGAACGATGGGAGTCCAAATTTAAAACCAAGGATCTTGTTTTCGTGTCACGTAGGTTGTAGCCGCGAGTGTAAAGAATGCCAAGCAATAATGTGTGTACGACAGGGAGGGGCGCGAGGGATTTTACCCCCGGACGTTAGCCCCTCCGTGTCCGTAGTTTACAAGCAATGCGTGATTGTAAAGGGAGAGCATTGCTTAACGCTTCCAATCCTCAGTCGTTTCGTTTTCCGAGTGCGGTCGTTTAAATCTTCTTCAACGCCAACGACAAAATACGGTTTGAAGCGCGCGGGCGGGCCTGTCCGTTGCATTGGCTCAGTGACAATTAAACATAGAAATATTTACCCGGGGGAGCCCTTGAGGAGTCTCGCCACCAAGTTTTAGGAGGTGCAACCACACCTATTGAATCGAGAAACGTTCCATTTCATCGAGACCTATCAACTCGAGAGATCACAACCTTACCCCGTCATAGAGCCCTGTTTGTTGACCACCACCCTCCATTCACTTGAATGGATATCCGATGGTTAAATTAAACCCCCGTCAACTTTCATACACGTCCATTTAATTCAAGCGGTCGCCATTCGCTTGAACTGAGCCTCCTTCACCTACGTCACCCGCGCGGCAGTGGGACACTGCTTGTCGAACGCACAGACGCTCATCGGGAGCCCGCGTTGCGTGTTGTGATGGCGGCAGTGAAATGATGCGGCGAACGCCAAATGCGTCGCTTGGTAGATCTCTGCACGGGCGCGGCGATTCTTTCACATGCCTGTCAATCCCTTATCAGTGCCTACCTTATTACAGACCAAGCCAGACCTTATTCGTCACCCCGTGCTCCTTATGAATCTCAACGTTCATCCTACAAAGTCCCATCACAAGGGAGAAACACAAAGAGACACTTTTTTTAAAATTATGTTTGCCCGTATTGTACGCCGCATGAACTTGAAAACTAAATTTCCCTGTACACGAATACGGGTAAACCGTATGGGTTTACAGGTATGCTTTCGCTCGACCAAATATGAAGAGGTAACTGTCCTGGGGGGGGGGGGGGGGGGGGGGGGGTGAAGGGGGGGTGAAGGGGGGGGAGTCCCTTCACCGAGCAGCGGTTAGAGATTTCGACGATGACTTTTCTCAAGGGTACTATTGCATGTAAATGGGGACTGCGACGTCGCTCTTACTCTTGCGGACTCAAGTTAGCTGGCGGCGAGGTCACGCGTCGTCAGATAATCGCCCGCGGCGCCGTGAGCTCAACGGGTCGCGTGAAGCCGCCCCCCTCGGCCCACCGTAGGCGCTCCTCGCCGCGCGTGGTCTCCGCCGCCGGCCGCGAGGCCCCTTGGTGTAGTTCGCCGCCTCGTGCGTAACGGCGCGCAAGGTCTGAGACTGGGCTGTCGTTTTAATTGGGCCCCTTTTTATCGACGGTAGGTTTTTTTGAGTTATTTTTAGTTAGTTCGTTTTCATTGTTATTTTTCGTAGAGTTTCGTTGGGTAGCCTGTAGCACGTTATTTAATTAACGTCAGATTTTTATTTAAAGACTTCATTCGGTCGGAACGGAGCCCCGAATTTTATACGAATATACATGCGAGACTCCTTTTACCTGTGACGGGCGGGCAAATGTGGGAGAACGGAGGTGACAGATAAGAGAGGATTTGCACGAGAGAAAGAGGGTGGTGGATAAAGGCGAGGTTCACATTTTATTTGCTGCAATCTACACTACACGAATACGGCGACGATCGAGGACTCGGCTCACAGAGAAATTATTCCATAAGGACTCCTCCCGTGCGTTTACGGGTTGCACCGCAAGCTCCGGTTCACGGAGAAGCTCCCCGGCGCGTGGCGCGAAACGTCGGGACTTCGTGCTGAACAACGCGCGGTACGCCCCAAATACGGCGTCGGGGGGAGGTGTTGGGCGCAGCCGCGAACGCCGACGCAGCGGCGATGAACTCCACAGTCGGTTGTCATTGGTGAGTCATCTGCCGAGCTCACGCCATCTCAAGGCTGTTCTCACGAGGGTTTCTGCATTTAGGTGTTTGGCAAATGTCTTTACCGAGTAGTTTTTGTTTTTCTTCTGTTCGCTAAGTTGAGGGAAGACCACGACAGTGCCCGGAGAAAACCCACACGTGTGAGGCGTGTGACGCCTTTTGTAAGACAATTGTACGTATTTTTCGTGAACAACCTACTTTTGCCGTACTCCATTGCCTTCCGCAGGGGCCTGCCTGTCACCCCTGCGCGGGTTGTAGGGTTTACGCGTCGCACACAACCAAGTGCGCATACACCAAACCGCTGCCTCCAGGTCACTTGTGATTGCGGTTTATAATCGTGGGCACCACTGCCCTTCCCCAGTGGGCGCATCGTGTTTGGCATCGGCGTCGGTGCTCGGAATAAAATGAGGTTCCCCCACCCCCTGTCCATTTTTCCCTCTTTCGTAGCCTGGCGCCTTGGTGCAGGCGCACCGCCTACACGCTCGATCGCTCCGCCACCTGGCCACCGCCAAACTCCACAATCTGAATACGACTTGAGCTAGCGGTTGATGATGAATTGGACGATTGGTTTTATGCAGCCGACAACGCTTCCACGAGTTGCCGCTCAACCCGGGTTTAACAGCTCTCTTGTTACTGCTTGTCCTTGCACTATGTAAGTTAGCAACCGTGGGGTTTTTTTTAATCTGTGGAATTCGTTTTTTTTACTACTATAATACTCCGTGTTGCCTGTCTGTCTGCAGCAGCAGAATCGACCTAACCCCCGTGTCCCGCCACTTCCGTGCGACGTGACGTCGGCTGTCAGACACCCCCGCGTGTCATAAAGCTGTGTTTTTCTCAAATTCGACACCGTGGTTTTTTTTACCGACGTTTTTTTTTCTACAAACTCCGCCTTTGTTTTCCAATTTAAGTTATATTTGACGTTCACTTTCTTGAGACTGCTTTCCCAGCTGTTTTGAGATCGTGGCGATACGTATTCCACCCTGTGCTATCTCACAGATTATTGACCGTCTTGCCTGATGTCGATGTTTAAAGTTGTACGTCGGCGTGTCGTGTCATTATCATTGCTGTTATCATTATTATTAAAAAGAGGCCGAGTCTGGATGTTTACGGAGTTTCATTCTCGTATCATAACAACAGCGGTGGACGGTCACCACACATGGCACACTCCAGTATAGTAATATTCTATAACAATAACTCATACTGACCCAATACCAAAGGGGTGTGGTGATCGTGGAAGAGGATACCCAGCCCCCCCCCCCCCAAGAGATGCCTCTCGTAGGGAAGCCCATCCGCCAGCTGTGGTTGTCAGCAAGCAATTGCAGGGCTGCCACCGCGACCTCCGACCCAGCGGGTACCGCACAAATACCCACAGCGCAAACCGCACGATGCACCCCTCCCACGTGCGTCAGTTCCCGAAACGTAGATTGCAGCACGCGGAAGCGAAACGTCGGACAACGGAAACGCATCGGAGAGCCGCTACTACCCCCCCCCCACACCCCACCACCGTGCACAGAAGCGCACCGTGCACGTGAGAGGAAACCCGGGGCACGCACGCCCTGGCCAAACCTCGCAGCCCAAGTCTCCGCGCAGCTACTGCCAACGCTTAGCTACTTCGCACGTAATTGTGGATGACAGGCGGTGGGTGTGCGTTTAGGGGCCCATCCATTTAGTACGTACGGGGGGAGGGGGAGTTAACCCAAACGCGTACGCTTGCGTATAGGGGGGTCTACTGACATTGCACTTACGCAGAGGAAACGGGGGGGGGGGGGGGTGAAGCCTCGATGATAATTTGTTGGCCTTCAAATGAGTTAGTCCGGCGGTGGACTATCTGTTTGCTTAAACACGTTAATATTATTAATCCTTTATCGTTTCTGCGTGGATTAAATATCGGCCGTTCTATAGGAGTCGAGGGGGGCGGGGTGTAAAAAGTCCGCGTGCGTACAGGGAGGGGGGGGAGGGGTCAAGTTTTGACAGATTTTTGCGTGCCTACTCAATGGATGGCCCCTTATGAGACGACGCTGTTTACATCACGCCCTGATGTTGGCAGCGAGCACCAGCGTAGTCCGTGCCACGGGAGGGCGCTCTCCCGCCAGCATTCGGCCGCCTCCTCTTCATAATCCCCATCGTCTCTTTTGAACGTTGGCCCACTTATCAAGTTCAAGCTTCGCATGTCATTTGTTTAGCCAGGTGAGAACTGGTCACGAGTCCAGGAGGAGTCATTTACAATGAGTGACCTCTGTTCGATCAAAGTGACAAGCGTGGCGGCACCAATACCTACAAAGATCCCAAGTATCACCTTTATCCTGGATCACGACGTTTCGATCTCAACACAAGCAATCGTCATCAGGTGGGACAACCACAGCAAGAAAAAACTGCTGAAGTTTGTCCCACCTGATGACGATTGCTTGTGTTGCGATCGAAACGTCTACCTACCACGTGACTTTACCTAAAGAACCAAAGAGTGTGGATTCCTGCAGTCACGAAAGCTTCAAAGCAAGATTCTTAGCAATACTATGAAGGCCGACACAGTACACAAGGGGGTGGGTGGCAAGCACCACGCCCGACCGCCTTTGTCTCCCCAGTGGCGATGTTTACACACCAGGTACTCATTTGAGGCTGAGTCGACCTAGGGGAGGCCCAGGACCGGTTCAGGTAATCGTCACCGGTGTTGTGCCGCGAGCGGGAATCGAACTTGGGGACACGGGGTTCGTAGCGCGGCGCGCTGACCGCTCCCCCACGTGTTCTAACACAACAACAACAACCCCACGCCGCAACCATTGTCGTCGTACCCAGACGCCGTAACAAGGATGAACAGAGGAGCACAATCGACCGATATTGGAAAGGGGCGCTTACAGCAACTTGCACAACACCGCCCGCGGAACATTCCGAGCGGCGTCCGGAGAAAGGAAAAAATAAATCCACTGCACACCGAGATGAGCAGCGATACCCGTCAGAGGGGCGACCACGCAGACGGGCAATCTGAACAGCCCTTCATATGATCCTTATGGCGGAACCCCGGGGTACCAAATAATACAAAATGACCGAGGCAATTAAATATTTTATTTCTGGGACACTTTTTTTCCCAGGGGTGTACTTCACCCCGCGACTGGGGTATCAATCCGACATCATTTCTACTCCGCGATGTCGAAACACCTAACAGCATAAAAGAAATCCGTTATCGAAAAATATTGTATCGTGTACAGCTCGTCGAGATGAGTCGATTGTCGCGTCGCCGACCATCAACAGACTAAACGTGACTGCATCACGGACATTATGCGAGAGCCGGGGTACTATGGAACCCCGGGGTCACCGCCATGAGGTTCAAAGACTCCGGCAGCACGCGTGGCGTTAAAGCGTCAGAACGCAATTGGTGTTTGGGACATTATTGTGCGGTGCTGCTATATTACAGCCATAGGCGGTGTTTGACTTCGATATGGATTTGGGGGAGTGGGCAGGGGTTCGCTTTGTCCCTCGCGTAAGGCATCGCGGATGAATAAATTGTATTTATTTATTTTAGCTGAATTAATACCGTGCCAACCCATACGGTTTTACACCGTATTCTTGTACAGGGAGATTGAGTTTTCAGGTCCATACGGCGTACAGCCGTTTCAATACGGGCAAAAATAGAATTTGCCTTGATTTGAAGCTTTCGTGACTGCAGGAATCCATACTCTTTGGTTCTTTCGGTAAAGTCACGTGGTAGGTAGAAATAATAAAATACTTTACCGAAATAACTAAAGAGTATATAATTGCCTGTGTGTGTTTCTCCCTTGTAATGGGACTTTGTAGGATGAACGGTGATATTTATAAGGGCACGGAGTGACCAATGAGGTCTGAATTGGTCTGTAATCAGGGGTTGACAGGTATGTTAATAGTAAACCACTAAAAATATAACAATAAAGGTGTCCAGTTTGTGCGGGCCATTGCACCACCCCCACCGCAACTTTACCCCCAACACGTGCTGTTCGGATTTCAGTTCAGAGTTTAATATGCACGTTTGGCGCGCAGAACGAGTGGCGAGTTTACACTTCACCCAATCCTATGACCCCTCGACCCCACGCATCAATCCGCACGAAGCAGCTGATGTGGGGGAAGCCTTCATCCAGCACTGGGTTGACAAAGAGGGCTATAAATTAAACTATACTGACTCATTTTTTTTTCTTACCAGGTAAGGCCCACTGAGCTGCTACACGGCTCTTTTTCAGAAGCGACCTGGCTATCACAAATAATAGCTCAATGAGTTGGCTTATCATCACGTGGAAGTCGATAGCAGCCAAATACTCTGAACGCATTTTGGTTATAAATTTGGAGGGAAAAACCGAAGGACCCGGAGAAAAATCCACGAAACCACGGGGAGAGAGACACACCGCAAACTCCAAATATACAGCAGGCGTCAGGGTCGGGAACGAACCCACGACCGCTTGTATACCAGACGAGGTAGTTAACACCCCGCAACTCTGTTACATTATTAATCTGGAGTAGCGAAAGCGGGGGGAGGACTAAAAACTAGCCCCCCCCCCACCCCCCTGGAGGCTAGCCCCCCCTTTCATCTAAAACATTTGGATGTAAACCCACGAACTCATCCCCGCGCCGCCACGTGACTCAATCCAGCGGCACGGGGCCAGGGCAGCTCCCTAACCCCCTCCGCCCACTCCACTGCCCCCCTCACCCAGCCCCTCCCCCAACTCCCCTGCCCCCCTCCCCCAGCTCCTCTACCCCCCACCCATCTCACAGCTGCCCCCCCCCTCCTCTCACCCCGTCCTCACATCCTCCTCTCGCTGCGGGATTTGCTGCACTGCGGTTCAGTAGAGCGGAAGAGAGGGAGAAGGGGAGGGAGTTGTGGGAGATGATGATGATGATAGAGCGAGAGGGAGTTGGGAGGTAGAGAGAAAGTAGAGAGTGGGAGCGAGCGAGCGAGAGGGAGAAGGCACGGGATCAACATCACCCCCTGCCCTGCACCCCGATGAGACGGCGGCAGTTGCTGCCACATCCTCTGCAGCGGCAGCAGTCTCTTGCTGCAATGCAGCTGATTTGGCGACGCACCCCAGACGTCCGTTGTCGCGCCCTCTGCACCAATGCCCCGTCACTCGGGTTGGATTTCATTTAATTCATCGGCCAGGCTGCCCCCTGAAGCCGTCCCCACTGGCACAGCGACCTATGCACGAACGACACCAACCGATCGGCTCACCCGGCCACAGGACAAAAGAAGTGTCGATTAAAGCGCACGCAAATTGTCCGCGTGCGTCTGTGAACCTCCCCGCCGGGGTCTTCCGGGCCTCCGTGCGAGTCTGCGGGCCTCTGTCTAAGTCTGCGAAGCCCCCGTGTGACAGAGTCTCTTGTCTCAAAGCCATGGGACCGCAACGGTGAACGCCGTTGCCACGATTTGAGAAGTTCGCACGGCTCCTGCAGCCGTTGACCAGGTTCGCTCACAACCTCGCGGCGCGAACAGAGGAGAGGGATATTGCTTTGTCGTCGATCAAACTCCCAGCCATGCAAGAGGCAGAGCGCGCTCTGCGGTGGCTGCGGCGGCAGGGGTAGTGCTGGTGCTTCCAGTTGTGTGGGAATTGTTGTTGTTGTTTGTGAAACAACGACTGTTTGGGGAGAGCGGTGGCGCAATGGTTAGCGCAATGCGCCGTAGAACGGGGCCTCCTGAGTTCGATAGCCGCCCACGGCGACATTTTAGTGGCGAGGGATATCTGAACCGGTCCTGTGGGCTTCCTCTCCTCCCCTTTGTCAGCAGCCCCGCAATGACCGGCGTGGTGAAGTATGGTCGAACAACACCCATGAGCGACGCGGCGTGGGAATGCCTTCGTCCAGCAGTGGATTGACAAAGAGCTGAATTTCACTCAAGTCCCGTTTGTTGAAGTAACTTTGGTGCGTGTAATTACAAACGATTAGACGGATATGCAGTATCCTGATGTCCATGTAACACGCTGCAGTAATTAGACACAACAACAAAGCGTTTTGACAGTCACCGAGAGGAAAGAGAGGCGTGGACGTTTCGGCCAATTGGCCTTCTTCAGGAATCATTTATTGCCGCATTTCCGCAGACTCCAGTCCTGGAAAGCGTAGTGCGCGCGTGATGTCAAACCTGTAGCCAC